CTAGAAAGTACACAACCTTCGCCACTGAAGGTCACACACGTGACACTTTCAAATTGACACACGTGATTTGGTTTATATTGTGATAGGAGTCAAAATCTATCGAACTATCTACTGATTACAAGCTTGTCATCAAAATAGTCGCACGAGATATTCTCTCTACAAACATAAAACGCCTTGCTAAGACTGTCACAGCTACATTTATCCCCCCTCATTCAAATTGTATTGCGGCAATGGTAAATGAGTAGACGAGGTCGAGTGTAACAAGTCGGTTGAGTCATTATCATCAGCCATATATGTGTCTGGTGCCAATGAACTTGATTTACCGGGAATACATGTTTGTGCGAGTGGTCAATTTTGATGATAGGCATTGTATCATCTTGTTAAAAGCATCAACCTTAATACTGTTGTTATTGGCTTTATATATTATTGAGGTAGTTGTCAGTGGTTGCGTAGCCAATAGAGGTAAATGGATGGAATTCAATAAGCTAAACAAATGCCAAGCAGAGAGAAAGACGTCAGGAATTTTACAAATAATTTATACATTAAACTCTAATAAAACTCAAGCTTCGCAATACACCTCGAGCAACTTGTAATTCCTTTGCTCAATAGATCCATTACCGGGTAATCTGGTTGAAGACATCAAATACTCGTCAACCTCTCTAGCTGCTTGTCTACCTTCTTGTATACCCCAAACAACTAAGGATTGACCTCTTCTACAATCACCAGCAGCAAACAAATTAGATTCATTGTCAACTTTGTAAACATTAGGGTTAACAGTGGTGATTGTGCCTCTCTTTGTCTTTTGCACTTCAAGATTATCTGCGTCAGGTCCGATGAAACCCATAGACAACAACACAACATCAGCTGGGAAAAATTCTTCACTACCTGGAACTTCAGCCATTTGCCAAGCACCCAGATCAGAACGTTTCCACTCGACTCTGACAGTTTTTATACCCTTGACTTTACCGTCCTCGCCAACAAATTCCTTGGACAAGATTGAGTATTCTCTTGGATCCTTACCGTAGTGAGTCGAAACTTCAGTGTGTCCATAGTCAACTCTAAAGATTCTGGGCCATTGTGGCCATGGATTATCCTTTGGTCTCGACGCAGGAGGATGAGGCAACAATTCAAAGTTGGTGACGGATTTGGCTCCGTGTCTGGTAGACGTACCCAAACAATCATTACCTGTATCACCACCACCAATAACAACAACGTGTTTACCCTCCAAAGTCTTGCGTACTTCTTCTAATTCGTCATCCAAGAGCGCCTTGGTGTTCTTGTGTAACAATTGCATGGCAAAGTTGATGTTCTCCAATTCTCTTCCTGGAATCTTCAAGTCTCTAGGAATGGTTGAACCAACAGCAAAGACCACAGCATCAAAGTTGGATTGCAATTCAGACACGGTTATGTCTTCACCAACAGTAGTGTTGCAAACGAATTCAATACCCTCTGCAGCTAACAAGTCAGTCCTTCTCTTGACAATTCCCTTGTCCAACTTCATGTTTGGAATACCATACATCAACAATCCACCTGGTCTGTCGCTTCTTTCATAAACAGTGACTGAGTGACCGGCTTTATTTAATTGGTCGGCACATGATAAACCGGCTGGTCCTGATCCAATAATGGCCACAGTCTTACCTGTTCTGTGAGTTGGAGGTTCTGGTTTGATCCAACCCTGTTCGAACCCGTAATCAATGATGGCACATTCAACTGACTTGATGTTAACGGGATCTTCATTGATACCCAAAACACAAGCACCATTACATGGAGCAGGACAAATCCTTCCAGTAAATTCGGGAAAGTTGTTTGTCATCATCAACCTTTGCAACGCATCAAACCACCTATCGTTGAAAACCAATTCGTTCCATTTTGGAATGACATTGGAGATTGGACAACCAGTGTCAGAGGTACAGAATGGAACACCGCAATCCATACATCTAGCAGTTTCATACTTCAACTCATCCTTGGTCAATCTCAGGGTCATTTCATTCCAATCTTTGGTTCTCAGTTTGGCATCTCTGTACTTTTCGTTTCTACGCTTGTACTTCATAAAGCCTCTAACCTTGTCCAATTTGACTGGTGCCTTCTTTTCAAACTCTGTGTCGAAAATCGTGTCCTCGACATCAGCAACCTTTGGTTCATTGTTCTTACTTGATGGGCGGTGAACGTGTCCCTTCTTGATCTTGTATGCTTCACCATTAGTAACGTCAGATTCAGGGTCTTCCTTGATTGACTTCATAAATTTGCTCAATTCTTTCTTCTTTGCCTCCTCTGCAAGTTTCTTTTCCTTCTCCAATACCTTTTTATAATCATAAGGCAACACCTTGACAAATCTAGGCAAGTATCTATTGAAATCATTCAAGATTCTGTCGGCAACTTCGGATCCAGTGTAATGACGATGATCCTCAATCAAGTTTCTCAAAAATGCAATTTCATCAGTTTCAGCAACAGAGGAAAGTTCAACATTGGCTTTGTTGACTTTATCTGAGAAATCTTGAGCCATGTCCAAGACGTAAGCAATACCACCACACATACCAGAAGCAAAATTTCTACCAGTTGACCCAAGAACAACAACTCTACCACCAGACATGTATTCACAACCATGGTCACCAGTACCTTCAGTCACAATAATGGCACCCGAGTTCCTAACTGCAAATCTTTCCGCAGCAATACCTCTAATAAATGCGGAACCGGATGTAGCACCAAAGAAGGCAGTGTTACCGGCAATGATTTGGTCCTCTGCTTTGAACTTTGATTCAAGTGGTGGGTATACAATGATTCTACCTCCTGATAACCCTTTCCCGATATAGTCATTGGCATCACCTTCTAATTCTAATGTGACACCAGATGCCAAAAAGGCTCCAAAAGATTGGCCAGCAGAACCAGTGACATTGACATGGATAGTATCATGAGGCAATCCTTGTTCTCCAAAAGTTTTTGACACTCTATAAGACAAAGTGGTACCCAAAGAACGATCAGTATTGACAACTTCACAATCAATGGTGACTGGTAATCCTTTAGCCAAAGTCAACTCTGACTCATCAATCAATTTATTGTCAACTCTGATGTGCAACTTGTGGTCTTGCTTTCTAACACAGTGTGTAGCAACTCCAGGTCTAATTGTATGGGCAGGAGTAAGGATTGGCGACAAATCGATATTGGCACTCTTTGTGTTTCTAAAATCATCTCTAACCTTCAACTTTTCTGCTCTTCCAACCATTTCAGCAACAGTTCTAAAACCTAATCTGGCCATAAATTGTCTCAAGTCATTTGCCATGTAGTAGAAAAAGTTGATGACATGCTCAGGAGTACCTTCAAACTTTTTTCTCAATTCAGGGTCCTGAGTTGCAATACCAACCGGACAAGCTCCGGTGTGACACTTTCTCATGTAAATACAACCCATGGCAATCAAAGGAGTCGTTGCAAACCCCCATTCCTCGGCACCCAACAAACAAGCAATTGCAATATCTCTACCGGTTCTCAATTGACCATCGGTTTGTAAAATGACCCTTCCCCTCAAATCGTTCAAAACCAATGTTTGATGGGACTCAGCTAAACCCAATTCCCAAGGTAAACCAGCATATTTGATAGAGGTCAACTTGGCTGCACCAGTACCACCATCACCACCAGAAATCAAAATGTTTTCGGAACCAGCTTTGGCAACACCAGCTGCAACAATACCGACACCGACTTCGGAGACCAACTTGACTGAAGTTCTGGCTCTTGGGTTTGAACATTTCAAATCATACAACAACTGCTTCAAATCTTCAATGGAGTAGATATCGTGATGTGGAGGAGGAGAGATCAAACCAACACCTGGAGTCGAGTGTCTAGTTTTACCAATCTCTGCAGACACCTTGTGTCCTGGCAATTCACCACCCTCACCTGGCTTAGCACCCTGAGCCATTTTAATTTGTAACTCATCTGCATCAGCCAAGTAGTAAGAAGTGACACCGAATCTTCCTGATGCAACTTGCTTAATGGCGGATCTCATTGTGTCACCATTTTCGCTAACTTGTGAACGAGCTGCGTCTTCACCACCCTCACCAGTGTTTGATTTCCCGCCCAATCTATTCATGGCAACAGCCAATGTAGAGTGAGACTCCATAGAAATGGACCCATAAGACATGGCACCGGTAAAGAAACGACGGACAATTTCTGTCCATGGTTCAACTTGGTCAATTGGAACAGGAGTAGATGATTCAAAGTCAAAGTCCAACAAACCACGTAATGTACAGTTTCTCACGGCTTCATTCTCCTTCTTACAATAGGCATCGAAAGCTCTTTCATTCTTGTTACGAACAGCATCTTGCAATGAGGCAATTGCAGCAGGCTCGTTGATATGTGCATCCCCACCATCTCTCCAGTGGTATTCACCGGTTTCTGGTAAACCAATTGGCTTGACTGTATCTCTTGTTGGGAATCCCCTTTCATGCAAAGTGAATGCGTCTTGGGCAATGTATTCAAATGTGACACCCTTGATTCTGGAAGCGGTACCAACAAAGCATCTATCAATCACCGAGTTGTCAACACCAAGAGCTTCAAAAATTTGAGCACCTTTATAAGAAGCCAATGTTGAGATACCCATCTTGGACATAACTTTCAAAATACCGGCATCAATAGATTTTTTATAATTGTCAATAACTTTCTCTTCTGTCAAGGATTCATTCTTCAAAAGGCCTTGTCTCTTCATTCTCACCAAAGTTTCCATTGCCAAGTAAGGGTTGATACCATCGGCACCATAACCAACCAAGCAACATGCATGATGAACCTCTTTTGCTTCCTGTGTCTCGACAATCAATGCAACTTTCGAACGTTGCTTTTGTCTAACCAAGTGATGGTGGACAGCACCCACTGCAATCAAAGCGGAAATTGGTAACCTGTCAGCACTGGTGGCAATATCACTCAAAACAATGATTTGATTGTCATCGGCAATAGCTTTAGAAGCAGCCTGGCAAATTCTATCAATGGTGTTGATATATCCTTGGATACCCTCAGATTTTTCAAATGTAAAGTCAATATTGGCAACTGACCAAGTAGGGTAAACTTTTTCAATGTTTTGAATAGCCAATAACTCGTCATTGGTTAAGATTGGCGATTTCAACAATAATCTATTCAATTGGTCTGGTCTCATTTCCAAAAGATTACCTTGTGGTCCCACATAACATTCCAAAGACATGACAATCTTTTCTCTAATAGGGTCAATTGGTGGGTTAGTGACTTGAGCAAATAATTGGCGGAAATACTCATACAACAACTTGGGTTGTTCAGAGATGCACGCCAAAGCATTGTCATTACCCATAGATCCCAATGCTTCATTCCCCTCTGCCATTGGTGCCAAGACAAATAAAACTTGTTCGTGAGAATAACCGGAAGCCACCAATCTAGGATCGGTTTCAATTGTCAAATTGGCATCTATAGGCTTTGCGTTCAAATTGATATTTCTTGATTCAAACTTTTCTGATAAATCTTTCAATGAAATCATATTGGCCAAGACCCAACTCTTGAAGTCAAATCTAGAAGCAACATTGTTCTTCAACTCTCTATCATCAACAATTCTTCCTTCTTTGGTATCAACCAACAACATTCTGCCTGGCTGTAATCTTCCCTTTTGTAAAACTTTTTCTGGTTCAATGCCAATAACACCAACTTCCGAAGCACAAATCATTCTGTCGTCATCGGTGACATAGTACCTACATGGTCTCAAACCATTACGGTCCAAGTTGGCTCCACAGTACCTATCGTCAGCAAAAGTGAACAAAGCAGGACCATCCCAAGGTTCCATCAAACAAGCAGCCCATTCGTAAAAGGCCTTCTTTTTTGGGTCAATGTACTCGTCATTTTGCCAAGCCTCTGGAATCATCATCATAACTGCTTCTGGCAAGGATACAACTCCATTCACAACCAATAACTCCAAAACATTATCAAACGCAGCTGAGTCTGACCCACCTTCTTCAATAATTGGAAACAACTTGTCCATTTCTTCGCCAAACAATTTGGATTTCATGACACCTTCTTTGGCTCTCATCCAGTTTTTGTTACCTCTCAAAGTGTTGATCTCACCATTATGAGCTGCTAGTCTCAATGGTTGAGCTCTATCCCAAGATGGGAAAGTGTTTGTTGAGAATCTAGAGTGAACCAAGGCAAAATGAGACTCGTATTCTGAATTGACCAAGTCATGGTAGTATGCATAAACTTGGTTTGGAGCTAATTGACCCTTGTATACAATAGTTTTTGACGAAAGTGAACAAATGTAGAACCAGTTGTGTAATCCAATTGTGTGGGATGATTGTTTCCTCAAGATGAACAATCTTTTTTCAAATTCTTGTTGGTATTTTGATGCAAATTCTTCTTCGTCGACATCCAAATCCAAAATCTCCTTCATAACGACAGCTGGTTGTAAAATGTATGGCTCTCTGGACAAGGAAGCTGGTCCCAAAATAGAAGAATCGTGTGGTACCTTTCTCCATCCCAACACCTTCAAATCCAAAGAATCGGCAATATTTTCAAATGTCTTTTTGGACTTGTCAAAAACGGCATCATCCTTTTTGAAGAACAAATTACCTACACCGTATTGGCCCTTTTTAGGTAATGTGACATTGCAGTGGTATGCAAACTCGCGTTTTAAGAATTTGTGTGGGATTGAACTCAACAAACCAGCACCATCACCGTCTTTAGGGTTCAATTCACCCCCTCTATGGGTCATGTTACATAACAAGTTCTTGGCGTCTGATACAATTTTGTGAGATGGTGAACCTTTCAAGTGACAAGTGAAACCAACACCACAGGCATCTTTTTCGTATTCTGGGTTGTAGAGACCTTTTGCTATAGGCAAGGAAGAAGCCCAAGATTTGTTTTCTGGAACCTCATCATATTGGTAAATGTTAGTCTCGCTAAACTCTTGTTGAGGTAAGTATGAGGAGGTAGTTGCAGTGGTGCTCATTGAATAATCTTCTTCTCTCTGGCAAACTGTAGTGAGTAGTAGAGCTATAACGGGATGGAAAATAAGAAAGGAAACAGAAAAAGAAAAAATTGAAAACTAAACCACTAATGAATGCTCTAACAAGACAGTAGTATACCTCTTATGTTATGATGATCCAGATCCTCAAACGATGATAAAAAGAAAGAAGTAGAAGAAGTAGAAGAAGAAGAAGCAAAAGAAGAAGAAGCAAAAGAAGAAGAAGCAAAAGAAGAAGAAAAAGAAAAGTTGGAAGATTTAAATCTGGGGGGGACGAATGGAAATTTTGAAAAAATAATTAAAAAATAAAAAATAAAAAAAAAACAACAACCATACTTTAGAAAGACAAAGAGACAAAGAGAACGAGAAAGCGACAGAAGAGAAAAAATTGGAAATTGGAAAACAAACACACAAAAGAATTTCGCAAAACCCCATGTGCTTTCGTCACATCTTTGAAGTAATGTTCCCACTTACATCAGAGGACTTAGCCCTTCTAGAAATGGATACCAATTACCAGCTCAAGCGTCGGAGTTCATTTTGTAAAAGCAATGAGTGTTCTGTGTTTAGAGAAGAGGCAAATAGCAAAGTAAAACCTTAACAGTTTATAAATCATAGATAAGGGAAAGGAAAAATAAAAAAAATAAAGGGCAAAGGAATACTTCTAAGACTTCACCAAAGAGCATTAGAACTTACGTCGCAATGAACAGTGTATATCAAATCGAACGATCCCACCAGTTAGTAATAAGCAGATGAGACAATTCCAGACCAGTTGTCCTAATTGCCTACCAACCAATTTGCTAACATTCTTCTTTCATTGCCAATGAAGAAATAAAAATAAAAATAAAAATAAAATAAATCAATAAATCAATAAATCAATATTTTTTTGCATTGTTTATTATTCTTTTTTAATAACTTTTGTGTCATCTATATCTATTTTCTTTTTGTTTTTGGTTAGTCTTTATTTTGTCCTTAATCTCAAGCCAATCAGATATCGTTAATTTAAAATCAGTCACGTGTACTCTATATAAACTGAAGAACCCCCCCCCCAAAAAAAAAACAAAAAAAAAACAAAATTATGTAAAACTTTCTCCTCCTCTTTTAAGCGGTTCTCTTGCATAACAAAAGATCCTTGTATCCTATTGTACATACAACTGCCAAACTTAAATCATATTTATATAGAATAACAAACTTTTGAGATGTCGTGGGGTTTCTATTTTTTTTTTTGTTTTTTTTTTGGTCCAGTTGTAGATACTATAGATTTGCTGCTGAGAAACTCTCATCCTTTACCCTAAAAGGGTAACATTTTACCATCTCTTCGAAGCAAATAGAACTGTCTCTCCGTATGCTATCATGAATGGTAAAAGCAGATGCTCTCATTATCTTTTCCTGGAAAAAACACCGCAAATCTTATGCAAGAAAAGCCAAATTTTTAATCTCAATTGTTCCTCGGCAGAACCCGTAATGTCACCATCTCAGTGCGAAAAATAGATGGGCCGGCCAGATGGCCCCATCCCTAAACCGGAAGCGTGGCAGAGAAGAAAGAAAAAAAAAATAAGAAAAAAAAAATTCTTAAAAACTCGAGTTTTTGTGGCACCAATGAGTCACTCTCCCCAAACTAGAAAACGAAAAACAAAACAAAATTGTGCGGAAATTGTAACTGCACGTGAAGAAAGGAAAGAAAAAAAAAAAAAAAGAAAATCATAGTGAGCGGGTCAGGAGTTTGATACACAGTGTAACCAGGTGAGAGAACCCAATCGATAGCTAACATCTGCGATGTAATTCTCTTTAAATTGTCTTGCTCTAAAGAGTTGAAACTCTGCTGCCTACTCCCCTTTCTCTGTTTTTGCTTCTCTATAGTTACTAAGAACACTTGATCTCAACAAAACAGTGTAAAGTTGTTCAACTTTTTACTGAATTTTTGCAGCAATACAAGTCAAATTTTTTGGTTTTTCAGTACAATGTCATTTTCCCTGAATAATTTAGTTTGTTCAAAGGGCAGGAGCATTGAAAAAAAAAAAAAAATTACTTATAAATACACATCAGGCCTATAAGTGCTGTAATACCTTCAAGGCATCATAAAGTATGCACATGAACTCTCTAGGTGGATCACATTGTCGCATTTGTGTAAAACCCGACATTCATTTCTTGTCCCCCCTTGCACTACCGATCTAACCTCATCAAAAAAATAATTTCACAACATCTCTCTCCTTGACAAAGGCGCTCTCTTCCTATATTCAGAGAGAGCAAATGGTTGAATTGAAACAAGTGTCATTTACACCAGATGTATTAGCAAGAGTAGCTCCAGACGTCTCTCTACAACGTCATCTATCGATTGGAATTAGGCCCAATTTACGAAACTTTACCGAGTTCAAAGCAGTTGAATTTGGCAACGGTTTACAATTACAACGTCATGAAAACAACGTATTTGCTTCATCTATCGTGAAAAGTGGATCTACTACTGTTATCACTACAATTAGTTTGGGAATTGTTGAAGATTTAGGCAACAGACATAACCAACGCACTCAACATTTTGCCAGTGTTTACCCCCAAGTTGAAATACTTCGTGGTAGATCTGGTGCTCCAACTGATGAAGAAATGATTATAAGCCAAGATTTGTTTGAAACTTTTGGACATTGCAAAATTATACCCCAAGAGAGTTTAAATATTGACAATATCGGTATCTTGATCAAAGACGAAGAGACTGGCAAGGAGGAGATTTTGTATCCTGATTTGAATGAATCACAATGGCAGTATGTGAATTTGTCAAGCATGCATAACAAGCCATTCCAATTTGTTTTGTTGGCTAGTACAAAAGTATACCTGAGAGAAGTCTCAACAAACTCTATATTTGACTTGTGTTTTGCTTCGATATTGAAAGCATTAAAAGATTTGAAATTACCCAGATGCTATGTCAATGATTCGATAACCACTAAAATCTCGATCAGGTCTAGAAAATCCAATGCAAGAGGCTTGGTGGATACAAGTACGGGTGTTTTGAACTTGGATTTGAGACAGGGTTCACAGTACAAGTTAGAATTGAATGCGAAGCCAGATACGATTTCAAGTAACTTTGGCGTGATTAAACTAGAGAAGAGGAATAAATCAGAAGGAGAAGAACATGAACAGGAACAAGATGGTGACATCTTTGTGGATAGCAACGAAGAAGACGAACCTATTTTGTTGACCGATTTAGAAGGTGAAGCTGAAGAGTCAACTATATTGTCAAGAATATCAGTCGTTAATAACTCAGACTCGATAAATAAGATAAGTTTGGTCAGTAATGGTGATATTACTTTGGAAACACTTAGGCGAGCACTTGAGATATCGAAGCAAAGGGCCAGCATGTACTCTTGAGGTGTACATATAAAGAGTGACATAGATTATAACTGGTGTATGTGTGTGTATGTCGTGACAATGCATAAAATTGTGGCAAAAACAAAAAAAGAAGCCTCTCTCTTTCTCTCTCTTTCTCTCTCTCTCTCTCTCTCTTTCTCTCTTTCTGTTGAGTGCCAAAGCGTTAACAAACTGTTAACAACTGTTAGACGCGCGCGCGCAACTAAAATTTCTTTACAACCAAAATTCCAACTTTTCTATCCTTTAAGATATATCTGTTGCAGCATCCCAAGGTTGAAAATTACACATCATTGGTGGCACTGCACTCACTTAAAACAACGACAATTTGCAAAACACTTAGCGAGTGTCAAAAACATCTAACTATTCTCAATTGCTTGCGAAGAAATCGCGGAAACGCAGCGATCATAAGTAGATTGAATCGACAACTCCATACGCCCTACGCCCACATCACCCGTATCTGCATCCGCACCAGCACCCGCACCCGCAACTTCACGAATCACACTTACCATCCCCCCACACACACATCATGTCTGATGAAGAGCACCAAGAGATTACGAGCTACAGCGCATTACAGGGAAATGAAGGAGACGTTTTGTCGTCTTCAACCAGCTCCATCTCTAACAAATCAACGATAAATAATTCGCCAATTGAAGATGGCAATAAAGTGGAGGCTACCCAAGACAACCACACAAATAATGACGAAGAGTTGGCAAAGGATTTGGAAAACAGACGTGCATTGATCAAAACACTATTGAGTGAACAAGATTGGAAAGAAGGTGACACATGCGTTGTTATTCCGAAATTGTTCATTGATTCATTTTTCACCACGCAAGCAATGTCCATTGATGAATTGAGAAATATTCTTGGTCCTATGGATTTTCATACAATAGTTGACAACTCGGGCCAACTTTTTCCACCAGAGAACGAACCCGCGCCAACAATAGCCGTATCCCAAAACGTCTTTCAGCATCTTTCATACTGGTTTGGTGTATTGGGCCAACCCCTTGAAAGATCGTTCATCACCAATCCACAGACAGGCGTTGTGGAGATTGAGAGGTGGCCAATTGCGTTTGCGATACACTGTATAGGAAAGAAGCCACATCAACCGGCATACTTTAGACACGGTTATTCACGACATAATCACCATCACCATAATCATAATCATGAGCCTGAGAATGAAGGACCTTACTTTGTTTCAGTGTCAAGAACCAAAACCTTTTTGTACTTGCTTGAGCTCATCAAAGACCAGCTTTTGAAATTATCAAAAAGATCAATTGATGATTTTAGATTGTGGTTTGTTTCCGATTCCAAGCAGAACGAATTGCCATACTTGATAACAACAACTAACTTTGTCTACAAAATTTCCAGAAAGAATTTGGTTCCTCCAAACGTTCTCAAGAGGACTTTGTTATCTGAAGGTGTTGATGATATTATTTTCCACGTGGTGATTGAATACAAGGAAAAGAGCAACATGCAATTCCCTATTGACACATTTGTTCAATCTCGTATTAGTGCAGAGGAAAACAACTTGAAATTAGGTGGTCATATGGGGCTATCCAATCTCGGAAACACTTGTTACATGAATTCGGCATTGCAGTGTTTACTTCATGTTCCAGAAATCAATCAGTATTTTTTTAACAATATATACCAAAAAGAGCTAAATGTTGACAATCCACTTGGGTATAATGGAGACGTCGCAAACGCTTTTGGATCCTTGTTGAAGCTGGCTTTTGACCCTGCAAAGAGCCTGTCGAGTATGTCACCTCGTGATTTCAAGCACACTATCGGTAGATATAGCTCCATGTTCTCAGGATACTTGCAACAAGACTCGCAAGAGTTTTTGAGCTGGTTACTCGACGCATTGCACGAAGATTTGAATCGTATTCAGAAAAAACCATACTGTGAGAAGCCAGAGTTGAAGGATGATGAAGTGGACGATAAAGAAGCAATCGCTAGACTCGCAGAAACGTGTTGGAACCAGCACAAGCAAAGAAATGATTCTGTGATAACGGACTTGTTTACAGGGTTATACGAATCGATATTGGTGTGTCCGGATTGTGGCAAGACATCAATAACATTTGACCCATTCAGCGATTTAACCTTGCCGTTACCCATCAACAAGAAATGGTATCACACATTTACGGTTGTTGATTATTCCAAAACACTAGTGAATGGGATCCTGAAAGTTGAAGTTGAATTGAAGACCACCTCAAATTATGATGATTTGATCAATTATTTGTCCAATTTTCTCAACGTTGGAAATGAGAGTTTATTTTTGTACGAAGTGTTTCAGCACGGAATATATGCCGATTTCCAAAAGAATCGAATCAAGAATAAGTTTTTACCGATTAGTGATCTTATCAAAGATGGCGATGATGTTGTTGTCTACATTATTCCTCATAATACCGAGACTGATGTGATTATTCCCGTGTTCAATGTGGTGGAAGATAGCGACACACTGTACCGAATGGAAAACTATTTTGGCATCCCATTGTTTATCACTCTTTCGAAGGATCAGTTGAACAGTTTTGGCACTATTAGACAGAAATTGTTGGAAACCGTCTCCTTTTTGACAACTGTTGACCTTGTTGGTGAATATGAATTGGTTAAGCAAGAGAATGAGAATTACACAGGTAAAAAATACTATAGCAAGCGGGATTTTCCAACTTTGGCCACCGAGGAAAATGGCAAGGCAGAAGATGAATACGACAGTGATGTATCATTGGCCAATCCCTACGTTGATGCCGATTTCGGGTTCAAGATCAAGTACATTTATGATTGCGAGATTCCAAGTAGCCAAAAGTCTCGCTTCAGTTTCAATTCCGATAGCCATGCATCAACAACAACTATTCATGTTCCTTTACACAAGCCTGCGATCAGCACCTACAAGCTATTGTCCGAGAAATTACCACCTTCAAAGAGGATGTACTATCATTCTCAAAGGGCCGGTGGTACACTAGCAGAAGAAAAACCAGCAGAGGAGGACAAGTCACTCTCAGGTCCTGAAGAGAAGCTCGACGGCTACTTGGTGCTGCGTACAAACACGCCACAAATTATGCCATTGGGAAGAGACGAGTGGAATGACTCTAATGAAGCTGTGGCTTCAATTGATGAGCGTATACAAGTTGAAGGTAAGCTGGAACTGGAAGCCAGTAACACCCTTGAGCAAAGTTTGCGACCCGCTTTACCACCACGCCACCAACCAAACTCGAACCTCAACTTGTCAGATACCGAGAGTGAGGGAATGTTTGGCTCGAGCTCATTTATGCCGCCACAAACCGTTTGTCCAGATCTGACAAAGCCCTCAAATATCAACTCACCATTGGAGTCCAACTTTGACGAGGAGGCCAATACCACTACGACATTGGTGAATCGAAGTTCAGTTTTGTTGTGTGATTGGGATAAGGATATTTATATGAAGTTGTTTGGTAACACTTCACTCACTACGTGGGTCACACCCCCAGAGCTTGTGAACCAAGAGTTAGTTGAAAGCAAGGCGAGGTTTGAGCGCCAACGGAAAAGCAAAATAACTTTGGCCGAGTGTTTGAGAAGCTTTAGCACTCCTGAGGTACTTGGTGAACATGATTTATGGTACTGTCCTAATTGCAAAGACCATAAGCGAGCTACAAAATCAATTCAGATTTGGTCAACTGGGGATATTTTAACAATTCATTTGAAGAGATTTCATAGTGCTCGTGCATTTAGTGACAAGATTGATGTTGTGGTTGATTTCCCCATTGAAGGTTTGGACATGAAGCCGTACTTGGCTAATCCAAGCGTACAAGAAAAAGATTGCATTTATGATTTAATTGCAGTTGACAATCATTATGGAGGATTGGGCGGAGGTCATTATACTGCGTCAGTGAAGAATTTCAAGGATGATAAATGGTACTACTTCAATGATAGCAGAGTTACAGAGATCAACAATCCAGAAGAGCTTGTATCTAGTGCTGCTTATTTACTATTCTATCGCAAAAGAAGACCTGATAATGAGCTGCTAGGAGGTGACAATTTACGCGAGATCCTCAAACGTGGCGAAGAGGAGTACAAAGCTAAGGCTATCGAAAAAGAAGAATTGTTGACCGATTTGCAAAAACTGATTGACAAGTACCACTCAGCATTACGATTCGATCAAAGTCAAGACGGGGAGATTGACTATGAGAGTGAATTGTCAACTGGCGAGGTTGCTGATGAAAAAAGTAGCGGAGAGGAGCATGAAGTTCCAAAGCCAGCCAGAAGACAAAGAGTATTACTGAAGGACGGAGAAGATGGCCACTGCTCGTTGCATCACAGTAACAGCAAACGACAGAAAATGAACTCGAGCCCTCCTGAGGATGCTGATGTGCTGCTGTCTGAAAACTCCGATTTGAATGGGGATGTGACAGGTAGAGAGACATCAACAACCGAAGTGAAGATAGATTAGGTAATAGAAAATCTCATTTGTTCTCGTGCACGTTACCTCAGGGCTTCAGCCCTATGTAATATTCTTTTTTTTTGTGCACACACACACGATTTCTGTCTCCCTCTCTCTCTCTCTCTCTCTCTTTTCCACTCGCTCGCTGTATCACACTGTACGACTCTTCTATATACAATTTTTTTTTTTCCAAAAAACCTCCTTCTTACCACTTTTACACCAACTAAAGCAAAGTAACCATGGGAAAAGGTAAACCAAGAGGACTTAACTCAGCTAGAAAATTAAGAGTTCACAGAAGAAACAACAGATGGGCCGATCAAGCTTATAAGGCTAGATTGTTGGGAACTGCTTTCAAATCATCCCCATTCGGAGGTTCATCCCACGCCAAAGGAATTGTATTGGAAAAGATTGGTGTTGAATCCAAACAACCAAACTCCGCTATCAGAAAGTGTGTCAGAGTCCAATTAATCAAGAATGGTAAGAGAGTTACTGCTTTCGTTCCAAACGATGGTTGTTTGAACTTTGTTGATGAAAATGACGAAGTCTTGTTGGCCGGTTTCGGTAGAAGAGGTAAGGCAAAGGGTGATATTCCAGGTGTCAGATTTAAGGTTGTCAAAGTGTCAGGTGTTTCTTTGTTGGCCTTGTGGAAAGAAAAGAAGGAAAAGCCAAGATCGTAGGGGAGTTGGTGTCTGTACAATAGCAGGATTAAGTACTGGAAAATAATACATAAAGTCATTTACGAGAGAAGAAAGTGTCTCTTTTTCTTTTTTCTTTTTTTGTTTTTTGTAAGAATAACAAGGATAAAGAAGAAGACGTTGATAAAACTACTTAGATACTCAAATCTCTACCTTCGATAGATGGGCCGCCTTTCTTTGTGGCTTTTCTCTTTGTTCCCATGGTTGTCAATTTTTGGTTCAACTTTCTAAACCTCTCATCATAACCCCTGCCTGCTTGTCTCTGCAACAAGTTAGGATTAACCTTAGGAGCAATCTTATAAGCAGCAGTACGGGCTGTGGGGATAGCAGCCCTCTTTCTTCTCTCGGCATTTTGTTCGTACAAGGTCTTTGGCGCAGTTTGCTTGTTACCACTGGACAATTTGTTGGAATATTTTGTCCTGTTGTATTCACTAAACTGTATTGATCTATCCTTGTATGAGTCTGATTTGTTCAAAATTGGTCGAGTCCAATCACCAATTAATCGATCAACTACTTTCTTCAACAGCGGCTCCGTCCTCTTTGATCTTTGATAAAATACTAAAACTTTGCCTATTCCCGAGGCTACTAAATGGTGGGTCTTTATTGGCAAGGTTTCCAATGAGTTTATTAGTTCTTTTTGAATTTGGTAAGCTGGCATACTTGCATCAGGCAACGGTTCCAACCACAACCGTACTGCTTCCAAAAGATTGTTATCCAAAATTGATTCAGCCAAGTCAGCTCTTGACAAAATATTCAATACTTCCTCCAACAATTTCAACTTTTCAGTAGCAATCTGCCCCTGTGAGTTCTTTTCGACATCCAAGTTTGCCGCATTGATCATTTGCCCTTTCAAGTCATCGATTTTATCATCTTGCATTCTTTCGATATCGTCCTCATCGGCTTTTCTTCTTCTATTTGATTTGACTTTGATGGCAGCCGTCATCTTCTCCTCTAATTCCAAACGTTTCCTCTGTTGTGGGTTCATGTCGTCGGAGATGTTTGGTGGTTGCTCGTTGCTAACAGGCTCAACACTCTCAATGGGCCTGGCTCTTCTTATAAACTTCTTCTTAGTATCGAATCGATCATCGGTATTGGTGAGTTTCTTTACCTTGATTGAATTGATTACCTCTTCGTCGTCGTATGGTTCTTCAGTTGTGGCTTGATGGTTATTTGATGCATCATTTGGATTCGACTCGTCTTGACGATCTTCCCCCGTTTCGTCATTACTTCCGGCCGGAGCGCTCGGGGCCTGCTCTGAAACAGTCTCACCTTCGTTAGCCCCCTGTTGTGCTATATTGACTGCTTGAGCTGCAATCAGTTCCATTTGTTGATCAAGATCCATTTTCAGTTCCTTGTTCGCTTGCGAACGAAAGAAACTTTTTTGGTGGATCTATTTTTTCTTGCCCATATTCGAAATATTTTACAACACCCCTAACCAAGGAAAATACTCTTGATACCTACTCTTCTGAACTGCTCACTATCAGTCATACTCTTCTTTATATACGGAAACTCTTGTTTCTTACTACAAACCTTGTGTAACTTTAGTACCCCCTCCCCTCCTCCTATGCACGTGATCGTTTTCAAAGCTGTATAATTTTTCCACAACGAGAAATTTGCAAAAAAAAGACCACCACCACTACAACAACAGCAACAACAACAAGAATCACACACACACACACACACACACACACACACCGATCAGGCATGTCAGATTTCGTTGGAAAGACCATTTCCTTGATTTCTAAAAAGAATTTGAGATATGTCGGTATTTTAGAAAATATCAATGCCGACGATGCTACAATTGCATTGAAGTCAGTGAGGATGTTTGGTACCGAAGGAAGGTTAGGACAACCGCATTTGGAAGTACCTCCAAGAAATGACATTTACGACTATGTCGTCTTTAGAGGTAATGATGTTGACGATTTATCGGTTTTGGATGTTCCTATTGAGCAAGTGAGACCTGCTTATCCCCCTATTGGAACGTCTGGGTTATATCCCACACCAACCTCACAACCACAACAACCACCATACCCCCAACAATTTCCACCACCGCCTACCACAACTGCAAATGTGAACCAGCCAGGACCAAGTTCAGCGCAAACTGCAGCAGCACCAGCACCAGCACCAGTGCCAACTCCAAGTGAAACCTCTGCTCCGGTCCCCAGTGAACAACCACAACCCACGAAAACTACTCAAGAGAAGGCACCAACAAAGACTAGCGATGCTGCGGAACCCGGGTCTTTACCCAATGTAACAGAAAAGGAAAGTGAGGATTCAAAGGAGATTGCACAATCTCAACCAGGATCGAGACCGAGACCACCTAAACAGTCAAACTTGGATTTTGAAGGAGATTTTGATTTTGAGCTGTCCAATGCCAAATTTCAAAGAGACGTAAAGGAGCAAGATGACGGACCCAAGTACAACAAGCAGTCCTCGTTCTTTGACTCCATCTCATCCTCGACTGAGGAAAGAGGTCACAATAGGAATAGATGGGCAGAGGAAAGGAGTTTGAATTTTGATACATTCGGCGAATCTGGTGCTAGAGGAAGAGGAAGAGGAAGGGGTAGAGGCAGAGGCAGAGGCGGTAGAGGGAGTGGAAGGGGAAGAGGTGGCAGAGGAAATTGGAGGGGTAGAAGCGAGCCAACACCTGAATGGGCGTAAAATTATAAGAGTAGGTGAAAAAGTAAGAGAATAAAATATTGTGTATAAAATTGTAATGTTGTACCACACGCAAAAGAAAAACTAAATACATATAGATCACCACCACACACACACACACACACGCATACACACTCTTCCATCTTCAATATCTCCAATGTCATCATCGTTTCGTTCATCACAGGAAACTCTCATCAGTCCCAAAAGGAAATCATTAAATACCATTGAGACGTGCGTCACCCGATTATTAGTTTCAACAAAGCACTTGCTTGAGAGTTTAACACAATGGGCCCGGCAGGAAGCAGATGACAAGTTTGTATCAGATGCATACGTGAAATTGGGCAACGACTTTAGGGCTGCAACAAAAGCATTTGCAAATAGCGGGGTTGATACTTCGGATCTTGGGAATGTACCGCAAGCATTGAGATCAATCTTGGAATCTGCGTTAAATGAGGCCCCGTCACAGGAGAATCTCGATCGATTTTTGCCTGAAATAAGAAACATTATTGTTACGTTACTACAAAGATTGAAAGCGAAACAGGCTCGTGCCAAAGTGGTGTCTCAGGAACGTGCCAGGCAAGAGTGGAGCAGAGAGCAGAACAGCAGAGAGCAGAACAGCAGAGAAGTGGATAGCAGAGAAGTGAATAGCAGAGAGCAGAACAACCGAGAGGGGATCGAAGAAGAAGGTGGACACGAGCCGCATCCAAGCATTTCAAAACCAAGACGTTCTCAGCTCTCTCACCCAAGGGAGTCTGGAAGGTCTCAAAATGATGCTCTACTTCAACTTCAAAATGGAGATGCCATGCAGCGTCGTGCCAGCAAGCGATTTAGCGCCTACCAATATGCTAAGCTCACTCACCAAAGCACTGGAGCCGACTCTTCACCGGCACTTCCCGCACCTAAATCTCCCAATATATCTGCAAGTACTTCAATGCAGGAGGACCCGGCTCAAGACATTACTGTGTTGTTGAGGATAGGACTGAGAACTAAAAAGGCTCGTCTCTCCACTCCAATCACGCTAGCCTCCATCCGCCTCGCATTTGTTGAAAAATTCGCTTATTCTCCTGGATCCGGCAACTTCCCTGACATTTATATACAAGATCCTCGAGCCAAAATATTTTATGAGTTGGAAGAGCAATCCTTGAACGACGTGAAGGATGGGTCGTTGTTGAGCTTAAACGAGGAAAATTCTGACCAACTAAGCGAGTTGAATACAAAACTCGACGCTTTAATGAAAAAGATTGATTCAATGAATAGTGAAGTCAATGTTCAAGCCATGGTTCCAGTGCCACCACCTAGCTCCGAGTCATCATCAGACGATCGAAAAGAGATCTCGAGAATTGAAAATGAACTTCGTGCTATTAAACAATTGAACAAAAATTCCACCGATTCCTTCAAGCTGGTGCTTGCAAGCATCTCCACTCAGTTGAGCAAATTGCAGGAGTCAAATGTTGAAATTTCACAAGGCTCAAACCGAACCTATATGGAGTCATGTCATACGAAACTCTCTGACGAGTCAGATGCGTTGTTGACCAAAGTTGACGATTTACAAGACATTATGGAAGAAATGAGGAAAGATGTTGCCCAAAGAGGCGTTCGAATTGGAGAGAAACAGTTGAAATACATAACAAAGGAAATTACCGATGCAAAGAAGTCACTTGATGAGATGAATAGCTTTATAACCAAAGAGAAGTCGATTTGGAAAAAAATTTGGGAATCGGAATTGGATAAAGTTTGTGAGGAGCAGCAATTTTTCAAATTGCAAGACGACTTGACAAGCGACTTACAAGTAGACTTGCAAAAGATTCAAGAAACTTACGAATTGATTGAGCAGTGTTCCATTGAACAAAGTAAAGGAGCATCAGCCAAGCGTAACAAGTTTGTGGCCAATTTACGTATTCCCGAACCTGGTGAAAGTTTGCACGATATTCAAGGACAAGTGTTGGTTGATATTGCTCAATTGAACCCGAATCATGAAAGCAGATTGGAGGCTATTGAACGGGCAGAGAAGTTGCGAGAGCGTGAGAGACAATTGTCACAATTGAATAAGTTTCAAGAAGAATTGGGTGATTTTGTTGAGGATAAGCGACTCAAAAATTCAGGAGGGATTGAAGAAATCGAATCTTTACGAAAACAACGGGATGAGGAAAATTTGAAAAATTCGTTTGGAATAGTATAGGTTACATCCATTGATTATGCTTAGATTTAAACCGCTTCATGTAAATGTCAAATACTCTTGGAAATGGATCATTTTTGCTTAGAACCACCGATTTGTTTGTCAATTTACCCTTGATTAAATTTGAATCGATCAAAGTCACAAACAAATTCTCTTTAAAGTAGATGTCTCCACCAGGTACAAGGTTGCAAGGCATCGTAGTTTGCCTTCCCAAGATCTTCCAACAATTTTTTACCAAATTTCGGTAAATTAAAATTTCGATCTTATTCATCAATAGTAGTAAATTCTTGCTTTTAAGATAGTGGTGGTTCATTTCTACGATGGCTTTGAAAGACGCATAGTCACCCGGACGAATAGCTCTGGACATTTCTTCATACATGTTAAGGAAACCCACCACGTACTTGTTGTTCTTTTGCGCTCGTTTCAACGCTGTAAAATTCGGGGTCTTCCCAATCACCAAACTGATTGGAATCAATAGTTCGAGAATCATTTGCTGGTTTTTGCCACTATCGGTCCTCGTCAAGCACCATTTCAAAAGCTCAAAACTTTCCATCAATTCATATTTTATGAAATAATAACGAGCAAGATAATAACGATATTTCAACTGCTCCGTCATGGGGAAATCAACCAATTTCAAACTGGTGTTATTCATATTGCTGAAAATGTTTCGACAAAGTAAAGGATTATCCAATTTCCAATAGATGAAACAAAGCTTATTGCCCAAGTATAGTATGATCGATTCTTTGTACGCGGAATTGATACGAATATTGTTGAAGATTTTCAAAATCACACTAGCAATATAATTTAATCGAAATTTCCCTCCATTTTCTTTGAAAAACATCTGCGTATCCAACTGTAGCGCCCATGGTGTTACTAATCCAATTGTCGATTTGATAACACCAGATAAAAGCCAGCCGAAATTGTTGTTGTTGAATGCGATGGCTAGATTGTTCAAGTATGTGGTGTATAAGTCAAACGATTGTAAAACAGACCACGGATCCATCTCGGTACAAAGTTTCACAAAGCTTGATACAACTGCTGGAAACGCTGGCCATTCATCATCGTACAAAGTTGTAATTTGGTGTGACGGGAGTGTTGAAGTACCGTTGTAAATTGAGGCAATGAAACTATTTTCTGCAGGATTCACCGAGAGTAACCTTGACAAGATATTAAACCGCTCTTGCTTGTTTTTCTGGTATGAATTGTTGATTTCGGCTATAAGTTGGGATTCGCTGCTCATATTGGGAACAGAGCTCGGTGAGGTTACCCTTCTTACGACTATTTAAAACTTTGATTTGAAAAAAGAACTCCATATCTGCAGTCACGTGAACACGATTTGAAACCGCTCCAATGCCCCCTAATATTAAACCTGACTATTCGAGTAAAAAGCAACTGCAACATATCCAACACCAACACATTAACCACTTCAAATTCACAATTGAGCAACATCACTGATGTGGTGCAAGTCACCTCTCACAGACTAGCCGTTCCTGCACTCGTCATTCCAAACTACATACTCTTTACGATGTATTGCAATGTGTGCTGCAAAAAATCGAGTTCGCACAAGCTAGACACAGGAGGGACACGAAACAGGCACACAGGACTAATCGTATCCATAAATGCATGCTTGTCTGTTGCTAATAGAGTCAGAAGTGAGCACAAGATAAAGACAGCCATGGTTTTCAAAGAGTCTTGCTTCACTACAATGCCAACGATTCGGAAGTGACTAGTTTACTCAGATAATATAGTTTAGATTCATCACATCAATTCAATAATGTACCTATACAGCCTATGTACGATACGTACCAGTCAACTCTCATAATCAACAACACACCCTCAATTCAAGTCACTCATTCTTCTTCCTGGTAGTTTTCTGTAATAAGTGCTCTGATTTTCCCCCGAAACATATCAAAATTTCAGTCCACAAATACACATCATAACAGAATTCCCCCTTTTCCTCTTCTTCCTCCTCTTCTTCTTCCTCCTCTTCTTCTTCTTCTTCTTCTTCTCCTCATCATCATGTCACCCCAATACGCCGCTACTAAGCGCACACGTAGCCTGCGTATTATCGTTACTCGCCACTCAGTGGATAAAATGAAAATGTTCACTATTATGACGAGTAGTAAACCAGTCCCAGTTGCAAATGCAACTAACCAATTGGTCCCGGATCACTCCAAGTCCGAGACTAATGATGATCACCACCACCACCACCATCACCATCACCACCATCACCGTCACCACGAACACCAACACCCCAATTACCATCACCATCACCCCAACCACCACCACCAAGACCAAAACCAACCCCACCACCACCAAGACCAAAACCACCATGTGAACAACAAAATACAAAATGAGAAAGTTTTCGAGCAACACATCACCTCGAATTCGAAAACTGAGATGATTGAAGTTCATGTTGATGATTCTGTCCCATTGGAAGCAAAAGAGGACAGATCTAGCCAACTAGTCGACAAGTCCATGTCTGAGTATGCAGAATTGGCTGAAATTGGACGCCAGAAGGAAGACAATAGTCAGGTCGACCCTTTGGTTAGAGAATTAGATGAGCTATTTGCTTATTTTGAAGCAGAAGCAGGGTGGAGCGGCCGTGTACCTAACGAAGCCGATCTCAACGCAGTTGAAGTAGATGAAGATGACAGTCCAATTGCACCATTGAGAATTAGGAGACGCGAGCCAGTTGCACCAGTTGAAGATGACACTACTATTACGCCATTGAGAATCAAGAAGCACAAGCCAGTTGCACCAGTTGCACCTGTTGAAGATGACACTCCTATCACGCCATTGAGAATCAAGAAGCACAAGCCAGTTGCACCAGTTGAAGCGATTGAAAAGGCCGGTCCGATTGCGCCATCGGAGTTAACTGACAGTGAAGCATTTGAAGCTATTTCTGAAGCGCCATTGAGTGTGGCGAGGAGTCCAGTGCATAAGATTGTTGAGTTGGCTGTGCCGGAAGTAACCGATTCTGTCGATATGACCGAGAAAAAGTCTCCTCCTGAATTGGAAAAAAGTGAGGGTGAACAGCACTTGAAGTCAGTCGACAACAACAACAACAACAACAACAACAGCAATGAGAATGAAAATGTTGCTGATTGTAAAGAGACGTGCTTGGCTCCTCCTGAAACTGTCCCTGTTGCAAGTGACTTGAAACCAAAAGCCAAATGGAAGGCAAGGTTGAGTCAGAAATGGTCCAAGATTGGATCTGCTATGAAGTCCAAAGTCGAGGACAAGCAGACTGCGAACTGTGAGACCAGAGGGACAGACAATTCGGAGAAGCCTCCCTTCAAGGACAAGTTGAGGTCATTGTTTGGGAAAAAGCGCATGAGATTTGAAACCACGGGTGAAGTAGTGGTTTTGTTTGATGCCGACGACTACAAAGATGAAGATCAAGAGTTGTTTGTAGTCGATGATGAGGCTGAAGAGTGTTGTACTGCAACCAACACCACCCGCGTTGATGACCCAGGAGCGAATTCGAACTCGGGAGCTATTGAATTGCCAATCGAAAATCGTGATAGCAATGAAGTTACTGGTACTGTTGTCGAAGGCAATAATGAGAATGCTCAGCACGAGGTTGAAGCTTCGCCACTGGTGTCAACTTGTCTGAAAGCTGAACTTGAATTGAAGGCAGTTAAGGAGGAGTTGGCTTTGACGAAAGAGATCCTAGAGTTGACTAGGCAGGAATTGAGATTGACGAGAGAAGATTTAGAATTGACAAGGATTAAAGCTGAAGCTGTTGGTTCTGAAACAAAACCTGCCTGTCTTGAGAGACAAGTTGCTGCTCCTGAAAGCGAAGCTGCTGCTCCTGAAAGTGAGATTCCTGAATTGATAACTGTTCCCCCTCCACCAAGACCTGCTACCCAAGACATTCCAATGAAGGGTAAGAATGCCAGACTCAAGAGGATTTGGAGCAAGGTAAAGAAGCCTTTCAAGAAGCGTGCTCGTGTTGCTGACGCCACTGTGAATGCCCAGGATTGTGATGACGATTTGTTGTCTCCTTATGCTGGCCATGAGTTGAATCATCCTTATTCTGAACACGCTATGATCTCCCCTGCAATTGACACTGCAGAAGCTGGTTGTGAAAATGAAGGTGCAACCGCAGATGTGTCCGATGTTTGCAAGAAAGGCAAACGCAAGGGTAGAAAGAAGAGAAAGCGTACTGACAAACCAGGCGAGGAAGAGATGCCAGCTGAAAGTGGGTCGGCAAGTGAATTCGAAGAAATCGACCTTCTGGAACCGCAGACTGGAAACAGCCAGCTCGAAGGCAATGCTCTTGGAAGCCATATGGAAGAAGCTGAGCAGGTTTCTGGCACCGGGGTTCAGGATACTGGACAAGAATGGAGGACAAAGTGGCGCAAGTTTTGCGAAAGGGTCCGAACCATGTTCAGAAGAAGAACCAAAGTCGATTCCCGCTGATGGCAACAATGAGGTTTTGGATGACGTTGTTTTGCTACACCTCGATGTTGGAGTTTGACCAAGATGTTGGTCAGTTGTTTTTTTTATTTTTATTTTTTTTGGTATGCGCGGTTTTTGTGGCAGACGGATTATAGACCAAGACCTGTTGATGGTCAGACCAAGTGGTTCAAGTTATAGGCACATTGATACTCCTTGTGAAGTTGACGAGTCCAGCAGTGTGGCGTGGTTGTTTGAACGTACTGCACCAGCACCGGAGAGATATGAACGGCGTGTCTGGATGATGGACTCGGAGAGAGGATGTATCAGTGTTGATGACGATGAAGTTGAACAAGCAGAATTCATCGGCCCAACTTGAAGGAATCGGAGAATGGTATTTGTCTCAGTTGAATATGTCATGTTGAGAGATTTTGAATGAATCAATTGTACCTGAGGATGATGATGATGATGATGTTGTTGTTGTTGTTGTTGTTGTTGGTACTTGATGACATGAGACATACTATGAAAACCTTGACAAGAGCAGTGGCGACGTTGGACTGAATCTTAAGAATAGAGGGTTGTGATGTGAGTTTCATTGAAAGTTGGCAGAAGTTTTTGGGATACTACGCAGGTTGTTGCATTTTCGGCAGGAGCTGTCACGATAATTGATGACCAGAGATGAAGGTAGCTGACCCGTGCCGCAAGAAGTATTCCCAAGCCCATAGACAGAAACTCAGCCATGAATACAACCCTCTGCATGTTTAGTCCAACACATGTGCAATGAGGAAAGGACAAACCAGAATACGGCAGACGCGTTGAAGAGAGTACATCAGTTATGGCAAAGCATAAAAGACACTGGGGGGACCTCTGAGCCACCATTTTGGTGGGAGAAACAAAGCGACACCCCGTGAGTATCACAAGACCGTTCTAGGAACGTCTTTCATGGGGCCGCTTCTCCTTTAACACCGGATGGGTTCGCGCTTGGGGAAACCCAGAGTTGTAATGAAGCCACGAAACTGAACGATTGATTGTGTGTTAAAAACCGTTGTACCCAAAAAATCAAAATTATTAAAAGATCAAAATAATTTAAAAAAAAAAAAACAAAAAAACAAAACATTGTATCATTTTAAAAAATCAGCACAATCTTTCAACTCGTCAGTGAAGTCTTGCCTGTGATGGTTATTTCCATGATGTCGCATTGTTTCTTGTCAAAACCCCCCTCCGAATGGGTCCCAATTTTGGTCATAATCTGCAGCGCGAGTTACCAAAAAATTTGCATTTACTACACAATTTTTTTCTACTCAGTTTGAGTTGAGTTATTTGTTGGACGTTTGTTTTTGGAAAAGGGGATAGAGGGTAGTTTGGAGTCTGCCCTCTTTGTGGATGTCAATGAATCAGACGTGAGGCGGAGATGTGTCCGTCGATAGTTTCGATTCTTTGCTACATTTTATTTTTTTTTTATATTTGTTTGTCCAATTGACATCTACATCCCAATCTTTCTCTCATCTCGCGCATCTCTTGCCATTGTAGTGCTCTGTTGGATTGGAGTGAAGGTGGTAGTGGCACATGCCAATGTCTTGAATCTTGGATCAACAGGTGGAGCAGTTACAGCCTAGATCAGACGCTACTGGGCGCTCTTAAGCTTTGTACTCTGGAAGATAAGAGAAGACGTCCACGGGTTGGGTGTAAAGGTGACTGTGCTGGCTTGAAATACCATGTAGGTGCCTCGATTGGCGAGTTTATACAAGTCAAGTAGCTTGAAATCAAGTTATTCTCCCTTTTAGCTGTTGTTAATCACGTTGCCAACTTAGTATCCTGCTAGATCTTGTAATAAGCGCCAACAGCAGCCACCCTCTTCTAGCAAACACTCAATTGGGTGCGTACATCACCAGCTGCTCTCGAATTCCTCGTGTAACCCATCTCTCTTGTGTACTCAATGAAGTGACTCTGTTCCTGATTCATCCTGATTCATAAGCAGCAAAACTCACCAACTTAAACTGGACTACACCGAGTCTTTGGAGTCTGGTGTTGTTAACTCACCAGTAATAGTAACTCAGTAGCTGTACTTGTTGCAGACTCAAGTCCAACGAAGGCAGACACCGTGCAGACTTCTAGTACAGTTGCGCCGAGTCTTCCAACAGCATTATCCACAATCTTGAAATTGCACACCTTGCCCATGCCGGTGCGTTTAAAGGCGCACTTCTGGTATCGAGATGAACGTACCCACATTTATCATCAATGCCATCCTAGTTCCTAGATTTCCAATAAAGACTCAAGACTCTCTGGCTTCACTTTTTTATTGCCAAAAACAGTGGCTTCAGTGTGTTCTTGTAGTATTAATTTTGACAACAGATCTCGCTAGCATACCGTGGACTTGCACCTTGCCATCACTTTCCTTTGCATATAGCAAATTCTTTGAGGAGGCTCATTCATTGACCAGTTAATAACCTACCACCAAAAAATTGAGTAAAAAGGGGCCGTGTCAGCGGCCTTTCATCCCACCTACTTCATCAACATTCACTTTTGAGTAGGGTTCGACAAAGATGGATCATTCTCCTTGTATAGCCCCTTGATCGTTCTTGACAAACCAATGTGTAAAATGGCACAAACACAAAAGCTGACCCCACATGCCTCATCCTTCTTTCATGCTTCTACAACCTGAACGTTTTTTCGTCCATCGTGGAAGTTTTCAACCACATTTTCGATTGAAGTTGACTGTACAATTCTAGGGACTAATTTCTTCTTTACCGGGGTCTTGTGGAGATATTGCTCCACTTCATAGTACTCCACTGCTTCAATGTACCCTTTCAAAATTAATAGATGCAGCTGGTGAGTTTGGACTAGCGAAATTTCTGTTTGCCAAAGTTGATGTTAAATCGGACACCGTCGATCTGGAAGATACATTTTCCTTCTTGTCAATTGAATCTTTCTATCCGCACACAAGATTAACATTGTTTGAACAACCTTAACACTAGCAATGAGTCGCCTTCAATATGTTAGAGTCTCATGCGATAGTTGATGTTAGCTGTCATTATGTTGCCAAACCGTTGTGCCGTGATGAAAAAGGATTCTCCACGGCTGATTACTTTGTTTGCAGAAAGCAAAAGAAAAAAAAAAAACTAAATCATGCGAATGGCGAAGCATTAGCGGTAATGGCAACGGTATCTTTATGGCCGACCAAACAGATATTCTTAGCCTAGTAGCCCATTTCCTCGAGGAAAACAGCTACTCGCAAACTTTGCGTCAGCTTGAATCTGAGCATGGAAAACCTATTAAGCCGCAATTGCTCAATTCAGAATCATTATCACAAATAGTCAACGACCGATTGCAATTCGCTTCGTTGAACAACAAGCGAGATGACCCCATAGATGTGAATGAAGATCTTCCTTCGAGGTTAAAGAAGTTGACTGGTGAGCAATTTGTCAATTGGACACTGCCCTATCCACAAAATCCAACCAATTTGAATATTCATTCCTTGATTATATCGAGTGCTTATAGGCAAAGTAACGAATCATTGTACTTTGCAACAAACGATGCACAGGTAATTGTTGCTAACCGTGGCAGTTTGCGACTGATCAGGTTCTCTGAAATTATCAAAAAAGTGTTGATTGTTGGAGTGAATATTATCTTGTTAGGAATGAGTGGCAAGCTTTATTTGAGGAATGGAGACTTTGATGAAATTGGTACTTATGACACGCAGACCAGATTCTCAGTTGACGCGAAGCATATTTCCTACAGAGGTACCGACTACACTGTAATACTAGCGTGGAACAGCGCGCTCAAGCTTGTCAGGTTGGTAGATGGTGAATTTACCATAGTGTCTGAATTGAAATTGGATCAACAAGGTACCTGCTTCGACGTCATTTCGTACAGGGAGGAGTTGGTGGTTGTGCTAGGCAAACTTGAAAATACATTATTGGACGTCATATCTGTACAAAACGAGCAACTCATACCAAAGTACAAGATTTCCGTCAATGATGCTGAATTCACCACATCAAGCTTCTCACCTAGATTTCTAACGATATCTCAAAAAGGCGAAGGAATTCCGTTGATTGCAGTAGCAACCTCGCACGAACCCTACATGAGAGTGATCATCACTTCTCTTATAGATTACGACTCTCCACCTGCATCGCTCATAGCTCGTAATCAGATAATTAAAAACGTGAATACCCTTTCACCTCAAGATAAGTTTTCGCAGCCAATGATTTCATGGAGATTGGACTCTAATGAAATGGAGTCAGGGATTTGGGTTATGGGTGAAGACGGTACCATACGTGGCATAGATTTAGTTGATGATGGTATCGTTGTGGAGTTGGCTGAGGTTGATGGCAAAGGTCATCAAACAAAGATAAAAGACTTCACCACTTTCATTGACGGTAATGGCAAAGAAGTTCTAGTGACTAGTGGCGTAGACCGCCAAACTTACGAATGGAGGTAAATGGGACATACATAGAGAACAGAGTGTACTAATTATATATAATTTTGTTGATTTTATATGTCTACCGAAACCTTAGCTAAAATATTTCTTAACCACGTCAATATTAGATGGGTTTTCTTGAAGTAATGCAATTGCTTTGTCATGAGGGATTGAACTTAACAAGTTTCTAGTTGAAGCAACAACCCTGTTTGCTGTGTTACCACCAATGGAAGCATGGGCCAAACCTTGTACGACCGAATCCACAACTTTTGAAAGATTCTTTGCAACAACGGGGTGATTATTATCAATCAATCCACTTAGGAATACATAAGCAAAGGCTGCTGCGTTGTCGTCCTGAACAATAGGTAAAAGGTTAATCCACTGATCCAACAACGCGTCTAGATTAGGTACCGATGATGAAAAAGTGTGCAAAACTTTTGCCATTGCTGATACCGCATTTTCAGTTGCATGTATATTCTCATCAGCCTTGGCGTCTGGTACCGATGCCATCTTAAACATAGGCTGCAAGCAGTGTATACAAAATTCTCTGTAATCATCACCACCAAACTGAGCAGCTACCCCAACTGCATATGAACTTGCTTGACGAACACCGGCGTGTGGCGACGAAAGTGAGTGGGCTAATACGTTGAGGAAGGACTCTTTGAAAACAATTGATTGTGGCCCGCCATGTTCCAAGATATCACACACTATGCACAACCCACAAAGTTTTAAACTTGTGTTTTCATCATTGATAAATGTAACCACAGTTGGGATAAGTCCTTGAAAATTCTCCAAAGCGTTGGCTTTAACGTTTTTGAAAATTGCTGAAATTGCTTTGTTTATTTCATCCAACAACTCCTCATCAGTATATTCATCTTCATCTTCCTCAACATCTTCAGTGTACTCATCATCCTCGTTATCACGTGCTTTTATCCTCTCATAAATCTCAACCATGTTGGCATTTATAGCTTTGGCAAATGCCTGCAATTGTGATGGTGAAATGGCGTTCTGTGGTAAAATGTTTATAGATTCCACTAATGCAGTATAGTAAGCAACTAAGAGCTCAGTGACTGGTTCTGAACTCAAAACTTCGGCCAATTTGTCAGCAATCTTTGACCAAAGTAGTAAAGTATCTTGAGAATCTTTTCCAGTTGCTGCTACGGTGCATTTCAAAAGGGAAGCCAACGTCAAAGCTGCTGAGCCACGCACCCCATCGTGCAAGTAAAAATCTAACCCAGGTAATGCAATATCCTCAGCAATTTCCTTCACCCATGGGAAAAAATCTTCCTTAAGCTGAATTGCATACGTTCTCAACAAATCCATTGCGGTGACTTTGTCGTCCAAGGCAGCGGTATGAACTGCAATCCACTTTCCCGATAGGTTGATAACATCCCATTCGTCGTTATTGTTGTACTCGTCGGCTTCATCTTCTTCCAACAAAGAAATATCTTGCGAAGCCTTTGCTGTTACCATCAATGGTGGCAACACCGATGGCAAATACGGCAAAAATTCCTTGCCTAAAATACGGCAGATTCTTCCCCAAGCTTGCTCCAAGTATTGTTTCACTGGATCATCATCAGCAGTTGCTGTTTGTTGAATATGACCAAATAATTGGATCAAGTCGTGACTTTGAGGTTCAAATTTCTCTTTTCCAACAGCTAATGCAATCAAAGTGGAGCATTCAATACATTTGGCTTTGAGTAATCTATTTTCATCACCCATGTCCGTCTTCAACACATTCACTAGTAACGGCATCAACGTATCATAATACTTGACAAATGTCTGTTCAGCAGCGTCAGCAATGATGGCAATGGTAGTCAACACTTGTTCTTGTACATACCTCTTTGGAGATTGCAATAAAACTAGTAAGTTGTTCAACAAGTCGTCCAAATATGGTTCCAAAATGTCTTTGGTGGCAGCCTCAGAAAAGTTCACCAATGCGGCAGCGGCATGGGCTTGCACGCGTGGAACAGATTTGTTTGTTAATTTGGAAATCAAAGCAGGTAAGATTCTGTTTCCAGCTGTTCTTTGGATCAAATCTTGGAAATCTGTAGACATTTGACCCAAAGCATTACAACATGCATATTGAACTCTTGCATGTCCGTCGTCCAAAGTAGGTAAAACCATGTCCAATATTTTTGGGATCTCATTCATCAAAACATCTGAGCATCCTTCAGCGGCAGAAGATAAAGCCATCAAAGCAGCTTGGCGTTCTCTCCAATTTTGAGATTGTGTCATGGCAGGTAGGTATTGAAATAAAGGTCCTGCCATCGACTGTCCATTGAGTCTTAAACTGACCCGGTCCAATGATTGTCTGGCAGCGTCGTATTCTGGCTCATCGTCATCTTCATCAGTGTCATCCTTATTGTTCCAATCAGCTGCATCATCGTCGTCGATACAAACCTCGGTCAACATCGATAGAGTAATGAGTACTATCTGCTCTGTGTATGTTGGAGTGCGCTTGCACATGGCAGGCGAGACTTCGGCAAAAGTAGTGAGAAGCTCCAACGATGCCATTCGGGTGGAGGAGTCCAAATCTTTGTTCTTGGACACCATTGCACAAAAGTCTATGATCGTGGGAAACATATCTTTGAACATTTTAGGAGCAAGCTCCACCAAGTCAATCAATTTTTCCAAAACCGATGCCAAAGCCTCATCTTGTCCATTTTGCAAGAATCGTGGCAAGGAATTAAGCAAGTTTGGCAACAACGGAGACAAGCTTGGCCATACATTCTTTGGTAATTCTCTAAAGAAAGCAACAAAGGCAGAGCAAGCTGCAATACGTACCTCATCGCTCTCGTCGTCAAAGCCGGAGGTATAGATTGGTAACACATCATTGATAAAAGATTGATCAATCAACTCAGGCGAGGCGGAAAAGACTCTAAATGCAGATTCACGAAAGCTGGGATCTGGGTTTTTCGTTGCTTGAAACAATGCTGGAACAAGTTCATTCCAGGTTCCTGGAGGTGAACAGTCATCCTTTGATACCTCAGATATAGCATCTGACAACTTGTGTCTAACCTGATTAGATTGTGGCGCCGAAAACCCATGCATCAAAATTGTTCTAATTTGCTGTTTGGCCGGCTCCCCAATAACACCTATCGTTCTGTCGGTAACACTAGATAACTCTTTAGGAGACTTGATGGCCATCCTTCTAAACATGACAGCTGAAAATGCCTTAACAGTGTCATTTGCTCCCGAAGTCGCTTGCTCTGCCAAGAACACCAATAAAAGCTCAACATTCTGCTTGGTTGACCATTCTATATCAAGTGACTTTTCCGCGTTGACTCGCGAGTTGGTGTCTGTTGACAACAAATTTTCAAGTAAATGTGTCAATACTGCGTTGACCTCATCTGGTAAGACGCTCATATTAGGCAAGGAATGTATATCAAAGCAAGAAAGACGTCACTTGGCTCGATAAAGTAAGATCGAGTAGATGATTTGGGGTGGGTGATGGGGAGTGAAGTCAATGAACCTTTCGTTTGATTGATGGAATGTAAAAGTCTCGATCCAATAGTTGGAAAAAAAAAAAAAAAAATAGAAAAAGAAAAAGAAAAAGAAAAAGAAAATTTTGAACTGTCTTCAAATTTTTTCACAGATAGTTGAAGCAGCAGTAGATTTGAAGAAATAGTAAAGTTGAGATCTTCCTCTAGCTACACAAATCTATAGACGGCCATTCGCATAGTTCGCTTATCCAAGCAATCACAATCTCTTGCTCCATAATCTCACTTTTTCAAAATTGTGATGACATCTTCATCTTCTAGCACGTGACTGAGTCCAACTATTTGTGGTTGATGCTTAACCGATGTTCCGTACACCAAAGCATTTCTGAAATCCTCAACCAAAGACTTGTGAATGGAGTTACAGAAGTCCTCAACAGTACATCTATCACTTCTCAAAACAACTGGCTCATTAAAATCTGGCAACTTTCCTTTAGGCTTTGTGTACACTCTTACCAATTTTAGCTTGGTCCACATGATCTCCAAAAGATCATCCAAATTCCACCCATTACCTGAAGATATAGGGACTGCATTTGGGATCTTTGTCAACAAATTCAACTCCTCGATCGAAAATGAATCGATTTTGTTCAAAACATATATTGCTGGGATATACTTCCTGGCTTTGTACTCTATAGCATCAATCAAGTCATCAACTGTTGCGTCGCATCTGAAAGCGATATTGGCACTGTTAATTTTATACTCTGACATAACTGCTCTGATCTCGTCATTGTCCAAATGTGTCAATGGGACAGTGTTTGTGATGTTTATACCTCCCTTGTCCTTCTTTGTTATCACAATGTTTGGTGGCTCCTTATTGATTCTGATGCCCATACCCTCTAGTTCGTGCTCAATGATCCTCTTATGCTGCAAGGGCTTGTTTACATCCAACACCAAGAACAAAAGATTTACTGACCTCGCAACTGCAATAACCTGTTTACCTCTACCTTTACCGTCCTTCGCACCTTCAATAATACCTGGCAAGTCCAACATTTGTATCTTTGCACCTTTGTACTTTATAGTTCCCGGCACAGTTGTCAATGTGGTGAACTCGTATGCAGCCGCTTCGGAGTGAGTTCCTGTCAATTTCGATAATAAGGTTGACTTACCCACAGACGGGAAACCAACAAACCCAATAGTTGCTACCCCTGTTCTAGCCACATCAAAACCAACACCACCACCTCCTCCTCCCGAGCTTCCATCCGTCAAAAGCTCTCTCCTGAGTTTTGCTAATTTGGCTTTAAGTTGGCCCAAGTGGAAGGACGTAGCCTTGTTCTTTTGGGTTTTGGCCATCTCATCTTCGATAGCCTTTATTTTTTCAACAGTAGTCATGGTGTGCTAGAAGGGTAAGTATTAGTTGAGTAGAGTTGTTGCTCTGACTTGAAAAAGTGCGTTGCAATGAATGGGTGATGATGAGATTTGAATAATGATTTTGCACAGTCGTGTGAGTATGACTGAAAAATTTCGGCTCATTGCACATCCATACAACAATACTACAATACAAACAACACAATACTTGCAATGGCAACCTGCGACAGAAGGACAGAAGACTAGAAGGAAAAAAAAACAAAAAAAAAAAAAAAAAAAAAATTTCAGAAAATCTCGATTTACTAGTAGGTTTACCAAAGATAATTACTCCCTGAACTACACACTTCAACTATGGGGAAAAAGAATAATAAGAAAGGAGGAGCAGACATTTGGGATGATGAGGATTTGTTGAATGATCAGCCACAAGCTGAAGAGCTAGGAACTACCGAAGCTGCGACTGAAGGGACCCCAGAACAAGGAGAGCCTCAAGAGGCATCTGCTGATGATATTGCAGGAGATTTCTTAGGATCTATTCGTAAATTAAAATCCAAGAAGGCACAAAAGGAAGAAGCAAAGGCCAAGGAGGAATCCAACGGAGGTGGAGCCAAGATCTTGTCCAAGAAGGAAAAGGAGAAATTGAAGAAAGAAGCTGAAAAGCAGAAAAAGAAGGAATTGGCTCAGAAAAAGAAGGAGCAACAAGCAAGTAAGAAAGAACAGATCAAGGAAGCTAACAAGCAGAATGCGGCAACCTCCTCAGCTTCGGCTACACCTGAACCAGAGGAAGGAGACAAAGACGTGACTGAAGAGCAAAAGCCTAAACCGGTCAAGAAGGGAAAGAAGGCTCCAGCTGGTCTTGCTGCGTTAAAGAAGCAATTGGAGTTGAAGAAACAAATGGAAGAGGAGCAACGTAAGTTAGAAGAGGAGGAAGAACAACGCAGATTGGAAGAAGAAAAATTGGCAGCCGAAGAAGAAGCCAAAAAGGAAGAAGCCAGAGCAGCCAAGAAGGAACGTGATAGATTGAAAAAGGAGCAACTAAAAGCCGAGGGAAAGTTGTTGACAAAGAAACAAAAGGAAGAAAAGAAGTTGCAGGAGCGTCGTCGTGCTCAATTGCTACAAGCCGGAAACGTCATTGTCCCAGGATTACAAAAGGATGGTGCTGGTGCAGAAGCACCAAAACCAAAGAGGGTTGTTTACAGTAAGAAGAAGTCAAGTAAGCCAAAAACTTTCACTCAGAAAACACAAGAGCAGGAGAAACAAAAGAAACAAGAGGGTGGCGAAGACGAAGAAGAGGCTTTAGTTGACGACTGGGAAAAAATGGCATTGGATAGTGATGAAGAAGCAAACGACGAGCCAGAGAAGGAAATAGGAACAAAGGAAGAAGAAGAAGAAGAAGAAGAAGACTCTGAAGAAAAAGCTGGAGATAATGATTCAGAAGCTCAAAGGCAGGCTCAAGAAGAAGCAGAGAGGAGGAAGAGGGCAGCAGAGGAGGAAGCTGCTGCTAAAGCTGAACTTGAAAGGCAAGCACAGGAAGAAAAAGCCAAGCAACAAACAATATCTCAAAAGAAATCTAGCTCCCCTCAAGAAAAAGAGTTGCGTTCACCCATCTGTTGTATTCTTGGTCACGTTGATACTGGTAAAACTAAATTATTGGACAAGATTCGTCAAACCAATGTTCAAGGCGGTGAAGCCGGTGGTATCACCCAACAAATTGGTGCTACATATTTCCCAGTTGAAGCAATTAAACAAAAGACAGCAGTCATGGCTCAGTATGAAAAACAAATGTTTGAGGTACCTGGTTTGTTGATTATTGACACTCCGGGTCACGAGTCTTTTACCAACTTGAGATCTCGTGGTTCATCCTTGTGTAACATTGCCATATTGGTTATTGATATCATGCATGGTTTGGAGCAACAAACACTTGAGTCCATAAGACTTCTTAGGGATAGAAAAGCTCCCTTTGTTGTTGCATTGAACAAGATTGATAGGTTGTATGATTGGAAAGAGATACCAAACAATTCATTTAGAGACTCTTTTGCAAAGCAGTCCAAATCTGTCCAACAAGAATTCCACAACAGATATGAACAGATCAAATTGGCTCTTGCGGAACAAGGGTTGAACTCGGAGTTGTACTTCCAAAACAAAAACATGTCCAAGTATGTATCAATAGTGCCAACTTCAGCTGTAACCGGTGAGGGTGTTCCAGATTTGTTATGGTTGTTGTTGGAATTGACCCAAAAGAGAATGTCCAAGCAATTGATGTACTTGTCAAAGATTGAAGCTACAATCTTGGAAGTCAAGGTTGTTGAAGGTTTCGGATACACCATTGATGTGGTTTTGTCAAATGGTATTTTGAGGGAAGGTGACCGTGTTGTGTTGTGCGGTTTGAATGGACCTATAGCAACAAATATCAGGGCTCTTTTAACGCCACCACCATCTAGGGAATTGCGTATCAAGTCCGAATATGTCCATCACAAGGAAGTCAAAGCTGCTTTGGGTGTCAAGATTGCTGCTAATGACTTGGAAAAGGCTGTTGCTGGTTCGAGGTTGCTTGTTGTTGGTGAAGACGATGACGAAGAAGAGTTGATGGATGAAGTAATGGACGACTTGACAGGCTTGTTGGATTCTGTTGACACTTCTGGAAGAGGTGTGGTTGTGCAAGCGTCTACATTGGGTTCATTAGAGGCATTGTTGGATTTCTTGAAGGATATGAAGATTCCAGTGATGTCCATTGGATTGGGTCCTGTTTACAAGAGAGATGTGATGAAGGCAGTTACTATGTTGGACAAGGCTCCAGAGTTGGCCGTCATGTTGTGTTTTGATGTCAAGGTTGACAAGGAGGCTGAACACTATGCTGAAGAGAACAACATCAAGATCTTCAACGCTGATATTATTTATCACTTGTTTGATGCCTTCACTGCGTACCAGAGCAAATTATTGGAAGCACGTCGTAAGGAGTTTATGGAGTATGCTGTTTTGCCATGTGTCTTGAAGACTATACAGATTATCAACAAGAGGAATCCTATGATTATTGGTGTTGATGTCGTTGAAGGTGCAGTGCGTATTGGCACTCCAATCTGCGCTGTGCGTCAGGACCCAGTTACTAAACAACCAAATATTATGGTTTTGGGTAAGGTAACTTCATTGGAAGTCAATCACAAGCCAGCTGATTCGGTGAAAAAGGGCCAAACTGCTGCCGGTGTGGCAATGAGGTTGGACAATCCATCATCTGCTCAACCTACATGGGGACGTCATGTTGACGAAAGCGATAACTTGTATTCTTTGATTACTCGTAAATCGATTGACACGTTGAAAGACCCTGCATTTAGAGACACGGTATCAAGAGACGACTGGTTGTTGATAAAGAAGTTGAAATCGGTCTTCGATATCAAGTAGGGGGAGAACCTTTCCATATACATATATAGCTTGCGAGTGTACACCCTTAGTTTATAGCATTTGTAACAGATGTTTTGTTTGTACAGAATATCCACAGGTAGCGCGCACATCTTTCACCAATAAGAAAGATACAAAAAATAATCCATCCATTTTTTTCTTCAAAAGGAAAAGAGGTAAGAGAGTAATACTGTCACAAGAGATACCTCCATTCGTATACACAATACGAAGAAAGAAAGAAAGAAAGAAAAAAAAAACCATGCAAGATTTACCACCAGTAGGCGGCTACGACCCTATCCAATGGAAAAGAAACTTGCCATCCCGTGGTTTCTCAGGCACAACATACTTTTTTGGAATTCTAGCCGTCATGTCATTTGGTTTCTACCGTTACTACCAAGGAGTCAATGAGCAGCGTGAGTTGACCAGGGAAAAGAAGTGGGCGAGATTCCATTTAGAGCCTTTGCTTTTGGCTGAAGAGGATAGAAATATCGCCAGACGTTATTTCGCTGAGGAGGAGAGGCAGAAGTTGATTAAGGAAAGTGCCACTAGTGACGAAGTTAAGCAACGCTTGGATGAGGAGTTGTACCATGATAAGAGTAAGTTTAGATTCCCAAGATATGTTCCGGGTCTTAATCCAAAGGATGTATAGGGTATGAATGAGAAATGAGGAGCGATTTGAGACGAAATGTGTGCTTGTTTCAAAGTTCGGTGTGGTGGACACGAGATTGAGATTCATTGATGATGCCGCAAGAAAGTAGAACTTAGTCTTTACAGAATGTATATTTTTTAAGGTTATCTTCCGACATTGTAATTTCTTTCGAGGTTGTAAATTTTGAGCTCTCTTCATGAACGCGTACATTAATAGGTTTCAGTTGAAAAATTGAAACCTGCTGCAACAGCTAACAGACAACCAACTTTAATCCAAGATGGGATTATCCACAACACAATATGGCTTGATACTACTCAACATTGCATTTCGACTATACTCGTCACTCTACATGATCATAGGAGACTGTGACGAGACGTTCAATTACTGGGAGCCACTAAATTTACTATTGCGTCAATTTGGTAAACAAACTTGGGAGTACTCTCCAGTCTACTCAATCCGGTCATATGCCTACCTAATACCTTACTATATTGTTGGAAAAGTACTACAGGCTCTAAATGTAACTCCTATTAATGTGTTTTATGGTATACGTGTGGTGGCACTAGGTGGGTTCACCTCATTCGTTGAGTTGAATATGTTCACCAACTTGAATTCGTACTCGGCGAATTTGGCAAACTGGTGGCTATTCCTATCTAGTATCAATATTGGAATGAGTCATGGCGGTATTGCGTTATTGCCTAGCTCGTTGGCTTTGCAAACTACATTATTGGCGAATGCATATATCTTCAAGAGTCTCGTTAGTGAAAAGACGAGCACCAGAGAGAGTAATTTATTGAAAGCTGTAACCTGGTATTTTATTGGAGGGCTTTTGGGCTGGCCATTTGCTTTGGCGTTGGGATTGCCCGTTGGTGTGTACACATTGGGGCAAGTTTTGCAGCTGCGAGTTGTTGGCACGATTTTGTTCAAGATCGGACTAATATTAGTATCCATTGTGGCAGTTATCACACTCATTGATTCATACTACTTACAGAAGCTTGTTTTTGTGCCGATAAACATTGTATTGTACAATGTGTTTGGAGGTGAAGGTGAAGGGCCAGAAATTTTCGGGGTTGAGCCATTGAGTTACTACATTCTCAATTTATTGCTAAATTTTCAAATTGTGTTGCCGTTAGCTGTTTTGGGCGCTTTGATAAACCCATTCGTTACAACAAATGCCAAACGGTTTAGTGTTGTTGTTTCAGCACAATTGATAATTTGGTGTGGTATATTTTTCAGTCAACCGCACAAGGAAGAACGGTTCATGTACCCAGTATATCCGTTGATTAATCTATCTGCTGCCATTTTTGTGTCGAAATTGACAACATTAGTGAAAGGCAGATTACCTAGGTCCATATACAATGTTGCCCAAGTTGGTTTTGTTGTGGCTGTGCTCCTCATTGCAGTGCTTAGAATTGCCAACTTGGTTGAAAACTATGCAGCGCCACTTCAGGTATATGAAGCTGTGTCGCAATTACCCGTTGCACCGTCTTCCAATCAGATCAATGTATGCACAGGAAAAGAATGGTATCATTTCCCCAATTCATTCCATATACCACACCAACATCGATTACGGTTTGTTGAATCTGGCTTTGATGGATTACTACCAGGTGATTTTTTTGAGCCCACAACCTCAATCATTGAGTCGACTACGTTTGTTCCGCCACACATGAATAACAAAAACCAGTTTGAACTGGATAAAGTAATTCCTTGGGAGCAATGTGATTATTTTGTTGATAATACGCAAGCAGAGTCTATTCCTCAGTTGATTAGACCGGACTTGTCTGTTGATGAGACCAAATGGCAAATTTTGCAATGTAACAAGATGATTAATCCAAATGGGAAACACAATTCCATTGGGAAATTGATTTATATACCGCAATGGGCAAGAAGATTGGTGCCCTATAACGTTGAGTATATGGATTTATGTCTATTGAAGCGAGTGGGAGAAAAAGGAGCATGAATGAGGCTCTTTGGGGAGTTGCCTTCTTTGAATTTTGGGGATACACTGCTGAGGAAAAGACTGTTGAGGATAGATTTCAATGTGATGCACATGTCTGAATCCATCCAAGAGGTATATCATACGGTTATATGACAGTCTACCTACCTACACATGCGAACAATACTTATCTCATAACATTTACAACTATTTGTAATCAGTTTGGAAACTGTACACTCTGGCCTCAAGCCTCTCTTCTATACATCACGCTGCTTTAAGCATAAAATTCATCCAATGCTTTCCTTGTCTTGACGAACCCGTCTTTAGCTCTAGACAATGCATCTTCAATTGCTGCTATCCAAAATCCATCCCTCGACTCATCACCATCATCATCATCCCTCTCCTTCTTCGTTACACTCTTTCCAGTAGCATTTTGACTTTCGGATTTACTTGTTTGCGTCGTTGTTGACTCTCCATCCTTTGTAGAAGTTCCATTTGACTTGCTTTCCGATTCATCACCATTCTCCAGTACACTCTTTCCTGACTCCTCCTTCTTTTGACTGAAATTGTCGAAATTAACCTTGTGGCCATAATTCTGAATACGTTCGCATTCACCAGATATGGCAGTCAATCCCAAAGCGGCAGCCGATCCTTTCAAGAAATGACCCGACGAACTCAATTGCTCCAAGTCTTTTTCTTTTAAATACTGTTCAATCTTTTCAAATGTTTCCTCAACTTGTGAAACAAAAGTTTCAACCAATTGTTGGGAGAACCCTTCTTCATCTTCATCCATTTGCAATATTTCGGAAAATACGGCCCAGTCCACTAGTTTGGACTGTTGTAACTTGTGCTGCTTATCGGATGAATATATGTCGGGCACATATCTTTCCTCTTCGTCAGAGTGTTGTTGTGCTCCTGATCCTCCTCCCTGTGGCGATGACATTTCCAGACAAAACGACTGTTTGGTTGTGGGGTGGCGTTGCTGGTGGTAATGGCAATGGCTGTGGTGGGTGTAGTTTTGTATGAAGAGAAAGAGAAAAAAAAAAAATTCTATTGTGTTGTGTTGTGTCTTTCTGTGTGTAAAGTAACAACTGATGATGTAATTGCTTCTCTTTTTTTTCTTTTTTTTTTTTTTTCGACTTTAATAGTGGTTGGTCCTCCTCACTTAAAAAATATTTGGAACTGCTTCAGAGGCTCTCCTTTTGAAGTCTAGTTGACCAATTGGGCTACTGCACAGAATGCTCGTGTCACTAGCTGACTGATTCAGATAGGGGGTAATTTGAGTGTTACTTTGCAGTCTAGATTATATGTAATGGTCCTGGGTCTTTCTACGTTAATTTGATTTCTGTGCAGAGCTATTTGTCTCCTCACTGTGGTTACTACAATTGATTTAGCACAATTACAATTATGCTTCCCTCTCAATATCAAAATAGAGTACAAGTAAGTAAGTAGACAGGTAAGGTGTATATTTGAAAGCTTTGATCTACGCTGGTTGTTTTCTTTTATTCTTCTAGAACAAACGATTTCCAATTCTCTTTTCTTTTCTTTTCTTGTCTTCTTTTTTTTTTGTTTGTTTGTTTGTTTATTATGTATGTCCCTTTCTATTTCTCTCTTTCTGTGCCTGGTGTCCAAAAAAAAAAAAGCGAAGTAACTTTGGTAGGGCATCAGAGATGTTTTAAGACGATATATGCTTTGGCATCTACTTTCAAACTGAACCTCCAATCTGTTGTTAGCCCAATACTTAGTAGTTTATCTNTTACTTCACACAATTATGTTTCTATGTAATTGTGTTGGTGTTTGCTAGTCATTCGCAGTTCTAGGCTCATTCCGTATTCTTTTTTCGAATCGGGGTTTTCCCTCCTTACAATACTAAAAGAAAGCACAATACCCTCTGCAAAAATGTCTCAAGTGGTTTTGGCTGAACACTCGTATCCTATCAAACAATCTTCCCTAGCTTGAAAGTCTCTCAAAAGTGTAAACAGCTAACCTACAACAGCCCATACTGAATACCAGACAACGAAAAAAATAAAAAAATAAAAATAAAATTAAAATAAAAAAAATGGACCACAGCTGCAAGATATATAACGGGGTAGTGTAATGAGGTGAAAAAAAGAATTAAACGAGTACACAAAACGTAAGGCACTTTCAAATTACGTCATAGATGTCGTATCTAACTGAAGACTACTGTACTTGACCATCTTCAAAATCTCAACTTTGAATGGGAACACCAATCATTGACTAATGAACAAGGCTGCTTTTTTTTGCGAAGCCGATCTGGGCACTTTGTTCAGGTATCTTTTTGACGTCGTACTTGTCTTTGTTGACACAAACACACAAAACCCGCTGTTTTATTAACGTATCTCACTTCATCGATGTTTTCATTTTTGTGTCAAATCAAACACTCATACGTTGTTAACTTGCACACATTAACAAGCTCAACAACTTTTCAATTTGTAGCCGTCTCACGTTTGGCATACGGAAAAGAATTCTTTTGGGTAGTTGGAGGAGTCTATATAGGTTTTAGTTGCTCGCCCTGCCTTTTCGTATTCACGGGCCCATTACTTCACTCCAACAATGAGAGAAAAAATTTGCCCAGTTTTAGTACAAATTTTTGATAGGTTTTCCGATATGCGCAAACTCCAACTCAATGCATTCTACTCCAGCAGGGTCAACTACCACTGTACGCACCACATTATTGCCTATTTTTTCAAGTCTCTATTCGTCTATAGATTCTATCACAATTCAAAAACTCCACCGTCGCCACAGTGTACACAGCAAAGTGACACTACCTAATGAGTAAACTCGTAGACGTCTCCCAATTTTTCAATATAATAAGTTGGTGCATCTTCCTTTGACAATTGCTTAACATTATCTTCAGTTTCAATGCCTGTCAACACCAACATAGTATCCAATCCACCATCTCTTCCAAATTTCATATCGGTGTTTAGTCTATCACCAATCATCAATCCTCTCTTAGGATTCCGTTTCAATCCACTCAACTGCGCCTTGATCGAATTCATCATGCTTTGATTAGGCTTCCCGCATATGGCATCCGGTTCTCTTCCACTTGCAAATGCTACTGTTTCAATTATGGACCCAGCACCAATTAGAAGCTTACCCTTCATGGGGAACGTAGAATCAATGTTTGTGGCAATAAACGGGATACTTTTGTTGTCCTTGAGTAAATATTGCATTGTAAGGGACAATTTCAAGTAGTTGATATTGAAGGTCAATCCACAAACAACACAACCAACGTCCTGATCTAAATTGTCAAACAAGTCTGTGTTTGGGTCAAATTTAACGCCATCCTTGACAAGTCCGGGATCGGTGCCTCCAACTGTGGCATATCCCAACTCGTGCAACTCCTTTTCAATCCCTTCTTCACCTAAGACCCAAACCTTCTTGTCTTTGGGCAATTGCAAAATTTTGTCGACATAAACTGCTGATGCAAAGGATGATCCAAATATTTCCAGCTTGGTAACGTTGGAAATACCCATCTTGTTGAATTTGGACAAGTAGTCACTACGCGACTTGGTTGAGTTGTTGGTGACAAATATCACCGTTTTGTTTTGTTGCTTGAGGTATTCCAAAGTCTCTCCAACTGAGGGAAGTAGATGGTCACCTAACCACAATACACCATCACAGTCAAAAAGAAAGTAATCGTATTTGTCGAGTATCAAGTCCTGCACTTGCGACTTGTCTGTAATCTTCACTGACATTGTAGGATCAAAGGGACTGTGATTTGTCTTGATAACTTGTCTGCGTTTGGTGGATTAATTTTTGTTTTTTTTTGTTTTTTTTTGTTTTTTTGTTTTTTTCCTAAGCGCGATTACCAAAGAGTAAAAGTCGACGAAATGGATCCGAAACCTTTATTTAAACACAGTTCAAGAATCATGCAAACTTGTTAGTAGAGCTGTAAACTGGTTGGTTCACGTGATTGAGTTTTTCTAGTCCCATGAGGTGGGAATAATGCCGAATCGATCCGCAATCATGGCACTAGTTGATAGTGAAGAACATTGCTCTCATTCAATATACTACAGCAATTTCTTTATTAAAACAACTACTGAACCATCTCTCCCTCCCGTGTGATACAAGTTACCAAACTATCCCTCCCTTCAACAAGCCATATTTCTGATTTTACACTTTCATGGACAGCTCGGAATCGTTGAAAGTTCGGCATTAATTTGTAAGTGAGGGACAAAGGAAAAAAAAAAACAAAACAAAAAAAAAAAGTACAACCGCTTTGCAATGGTACAGAGTAGACACTGAACTTTCTACCACTATGTCATCGAGATACGACGCATACGACTCTGAGAGGCCAGAACCGGCTGCAGGACTAGCTGATGCCGATGCGCCGGGTGCTGGACCTCTGCTGGAAGGCCATGTACAGCAGCCAAATGGGCATGGTGGTCCAACGCACGACGATGATTACGACTCGGGATCGTCATCGGAAGATGAACCACTAGACGTTGAAAAGAAGGAGAAAACGAGAAGACCATCAGACCATCCATTTAGACAACAAAGATTGAAAGCTTATAACCCGGTGTTGACTGCTAAAACCGTGATTCCATTATTAGTGGCTATTGCCATAGTGTTTGTGCCCCTTGGCGCAGCTATGTGGTACGCATCACACAAGATACAAGATATCACTATTGAATACACCCAGTGTGAGATTTTGGCGTTGGAAAATGTTTTCACTCCTATACCCGATAACTATACCCATTACAATTTCAGACATGACCACTCGGGGTATAAGCCCAAGTTTTCCTGGAGGATAATAGATGACCCCACGCAAAGGTATGAAGAGGATAGGAAAGTTTGCCAAATACAGTTTCAAGTCTTGGAGGAAATGAAGGGCCCGCTTTATCTCTACTACAGATTGCACAAGTTTCATGCCAATCATCGTCGTTTTGTTAAATCATTTAGTGAAGACCAATTGAATGGTAAAGATGCAAGTTTGAATACGATCAAGAATACAGTAGGCCAGAACTGTGAGCCATTGTCAGAAAGGGATGGAAAGAAAATATACCCATGTGGTCTCATAGCCAATAGTTTGTTCAATGACACCTTTTCAACTGCACTTGAGGCAGTCAATGGTACAAGTTCTGGAAAGACGGTTGTACTTACAGACAAAGGTATCAATTGGTCCACCGACAAGAACAGATATAAAAAGACTCAATACCATTATACTGACATAGTGCCTCCACCAAACTGGTACAAAATGTTCCCCAACGGATACAATGAAACAAATGTTCCAGATATTTCCGAATGGCCCCAATTTCAAAATTGGATGCGGCCAAGTGCATTAGCCACTTTCAACAAGTTGGCATTGCGTAATGATTCAGCATCATTACAAGATGGAATATACCAAATCAATATTGGATTGCATTTCCCAGTTTTGCCTTACCATGGTGGGAAATACATTTATCTCTCACAAAGATCAGTGATTGGAGGAAAGAATGACTTTTTGGGTATCGCATGGATGGTTGGTGGTGGAGTATGTTTTGTATTGGGCTTGACGTTGTTAATCATCAATTTCATTAAACCAAGAAAGACTGGTGATGTCAATATGCTAAGTTGGAATCAAGAAGCTATCAAGAGAGATGAACGTGACGCCTCTATGGCGCAAACGAGTGGGTTTGAGAAGTAGAATAGAAGAATACAACGTATAGTGTGGGTTTAAGGAACTATGTGATTTGTGTAAAGGGGGGGGAAGGGGGGTCATAGTAGTTATGACTATGTCTATGTCAGGAATCACGTGCCACCTCAGTATTCTCTAAAAGTTCCAGAAGATTCCAAAAACAAAATCGCGCTGTTAGACACCAGATGTCAAAAAATTTTTATTTATTCGCGGCTGCGGGCAACGAGTCGGAAGCGGTGGTGATGTTTTGAGATTTGATTACAAATACATCAGCCCCAACAGTGACTTTGTTTTAGTGCATTCCCGAGAATGGCCACAATACACGTGTCCACTTCTGGTGTTAACTCCGTGAAAGAGAAAAATAAAATAGGAGACAAATCCAAGACAAAAGGCTTTCGTTGTCAATTGTCCGGAGTTGTTTCGCCTTATCTTTGTGTCAAATAACGGATAATGGGAAATGGGTGTGTTTTGTGTGTATGTGTGTGTGTGTGTATGTAGTGGATAAATTTTTCCAACAATTTGTGTTGTTGCGATTGCTTTTGCTTTTGCTTTTGCATTTAGCTCTAGGTACATGACAAAAGATTATAAATACCCCTCCTGATCTCCTTCTCTGCAAAGATCAAATTGATTGGATTCCACAACACAAACATATACACACCAATCAGTAACAAGAAATGTCAACTCCATCTACATCCACACAAGTCGTGCTTAAAACCAACCCACCAGGTTTTGTCAACCCCAAGATTGGCGAGTCTGATTCCACTTTCGAAATCAAGCAACGTCCAATTGAACCATTGAAGGATGGCCAATTATTGGTAAAGATCTTGTATCTCTCAAATGACCCAACTCAAAGAGGTTGGATCAGACCTAAGGATGCTAGCTTCAGATACTATGTCCCACCAGTTGCTATTGGTGCTCCAATGGAATCCTTGGCCATTGCCGAAGTTATTGAGAGTAAATCCAGCAAATACTCCAAGGGTGACATTGTCAACGGTAAATTCTACTGGGCCGACTACATCACCGTATCTGAACAAAATGTTGTCAACAAGATTGACAAGTCTTTGGGTTTCCCATTGGAATTCTATCTTTCCGTGTTGGGTATGACTTCATTGACAGCTCTCTTTGGATTGACCGAAGCCGGTGAAATGAAGAAATTTTTGTCTGAAAAGCCAGAAAAGCCATACACATTATTGGTCTCTGCTGCTTCTGGTGCTACTGGTTCCGTTGTGGTTCAAATTGCCAAACATGTTTTGGGTGCCAGCAAGGTTATTGGTATTTCAGGATCTGAGGAGAAGTGCAGATGGGTTGAAAGCTTGGGTGCTGATTTATGTGTCAACTACAAGAGTGACAACTACCAAAAGGAAATTGATGAATTCCTTGGCGATGGTTTGGTTGACTACTACTTTGATAACGTCGGTGGTTCAATTTTGGACTATGCTTTGACCAAGATGAACAAGTTTGGTCACGTCATCTCATGTGGTTCAATTTCAACTTACAACTCCAAAGGAGACGGCTCATTCTCGGGTGTCAAGAGCTGGGGAGAAATTACCGTCAACTCGTTGACCATCAAGGGGTTCATTGTCACTGACTTCCTCCCAAAGTTTGCTGAAGGAGCTCAGATTTTAGGTAAAGCTGTCAAGGAAGGCAAGATCAAGGCTCAAGGTGCTTACCACGTAGACACTTTGTCTGGTGACAGCCCAGAAAAGAAATTGGAAGGAATTCCACAAATCTGGAATCAATTGTTTGTTGGTGAAAAGCCAAATGGAAAATTGATCACCAAGGTAGCTTAAATAAAATAGGAATAAAACTGGTTTGGACATTTTGGACTTTTTAGAAATCGTTTTCTGTAATTGCTATTTGTAGTCATTACCGCAGCGACTAATTGACATCACTCTAATCGGAGCGGAGTTGTGACGTACTTGCCAAACTCCGCGGCACTCTACAACCCTTTCCCCCTCCCCCTTTCCCTTTCCCTCCCCCTCCCTCTCCCTCCACGTACAAACGCTGGCTGGTGTTGCTATTATATAAAATCGCAGCAAATTGCGAATAAGAACCTTACATCTCTCACGTCAGTCTTTTTTTTCCCCCTCCATTCAAACATGTCCTTACCTACTAAATCTACTCAAGTCGTCTTCGAACACAACCCAAATGGAGACATCGTTCCAGATACCGGAAAGCCAGACTCCACCTTTGCTGTGAAGGAGGCTAAGCTCGATACTGATTTGAAGAAAGGTGACTTGCTACTCAAAACGTTGTACCTTTCAAATGATCCCACTCAACGTAACTGGTTGAGGAAAAAGGGAGACGATGGTAGAAACTATTCAAAGAGCATTTACGAGGGTGAGGTGATGGAAGCTTATGGGCTCGCTAAAGTGATAAAGTCAAACGCCGAAGGATACAAAGAAGGAGATATTATTAGTTCAAGAATCCAGTGGGCTGACTACTCGGTTTTGCCAGCCAATGAAGTGTTCAACAAAGTGGATACGAGTGCAAACTTGCCTTTGTCTTACTTTCTATCTGTTTTGGGGATGACCTCATTAACTGCTTTTCTTGGATTGACAGAAGCTGGCCAATTGAGGAAATATTTGTCTGACAAGAGTGGAAAGGGACCAGTTGTCTGTGTCTCTGCTGCTTCAGGTGCTGTTGGGTCTACCGTGGTTCAAATTTCTAAACATGTATTAGGTGCTTCCAAAGTCATTGGACTCAGCGGCTCTGACGAAAAGGCAAAGTGGGTGGAGAAACTTGGGGCCGACTTGTGTGTCAATTACAAGAATTCAAATTACCAAGACCAAATTCTCAAGTTTCTTGATGGCGATTACATCGACGTATACTTTGACAATGTTGGAGGTGAGATTCTCAGTTTTGTTTTGGCGCATATGGCCAATTTTGGAAGAATTGTTGCTTGTGGAGCAATCTCAGGGTACAATGATCCAAAGGCTGCTAGAGTCGACAACTGGTTCCATATCATAGCTCAATGTTTAACCGTGGAAGGTTTCCTCGTCGGTCAGTATAAAGAAAAGTTTCCTGAAGCTATCGACATATTGACAAAAGCAATTAAGGAAAAGAAGGTGGATGTTGATGATTCCATTCATGTGGAGACTTTGAGCGGTGACTCTGAGAAACAGAAGTTCGCCAAAGTACCACAAATCTGGAACCAGTTATTTACAGGCGAGAAACCAAAAGGTAAGTTGTTGATCAAGGTGGCTGATGCTTAATAGGGATTGTGTAGTTTAGGTTTATACTTTAGATAAGCAGAATGGTCTTGAAGTTTTTGAACAACGCTTTTACAATAATTTTGTAGACATATATCCAATGTTGAAGGTCAGTGTCCATCTAGGAACGTTACCCCAATTGGCATTGAGTCCCCCGCGTGGCTATACTTGAGCTTTGTTCTGTTATTCCATACGATTCGTTGGTCGACGCGACTGCTCGGAGACAGCTTTCCCATAAGATGACAACCAAAGACAAAGAGGAAAGAGAAGAAAGAGAGACAAACGACAATAGAGACATAGAGGATC